TGGGCATGTGCCGATTTAAAATTTGTTCATTAATTCTGCTAAGTGTCATTTATGTGAATGCAACGTTACTTTGTCATGTTACCCCCATGATAAATGTTACTTGTGTGAAGTCTTGTATCAATACTGGACATGCACGGGGAAATCACAAGGACGTGATGTACTGTATCTGAGAAAATAACGATGCCGTGCGATGGAATTGAATCCAATCAGTAGTGTGCGCGCCTGGAGAATTCAAGGGTGTGGATTCAGTCCCATAGTACAGCATCAATATATTCTCATACTGCACATAATTTGGTCAGGTAATGACTGATGAAGGTAGCCGAGGGTTTCCTAAAAGTTTGAGTGTAAACAACTGGCAGCTTTGTATCATCAGTCTGGCTGCTGGGTTCCAAAGTCATGTTTGTTATTATTGCTGTTAGATCTTTGATACTTGATGATAGTGACATTTTTACATAACTGAAGTGCCTGAAAAGGATATTTGCATGTTGTATTTGGCATAAGTTATAAAGTTTTGTAGAATCAGATAAAACTAGTTTTTAGCAACTTGACATAATAGCTTAAAGTCTGCTGATAATTTTTCATTCTGCTCATAGGTGCAAAACACAGCTTAGATTTTTATGGGGATAATTTATACTTATCGGGGAGAATTTTAATTTATAAAAAATCCTTAACTTTCCGTGATTATTCAATACAGGTATATAAATACAACCCCCCCCCCCTACCCCCTACAACACACTCCCCTACCTCTAACAGCACTCCCCCCCCAAACTCCCCAATGGTGCCCAACTACTTGAGCTGGACAGTAGAGCGACGGTCTCGCTTCATGCAGGTCGGCATTCAATCCCCGACCATCCAAGTGGTTGGGCATTGTTCCTTCCCCCCCGTCCAATCCCAAATCCTTATCCTGACTCCTTCCCAGTGCTATACAGTTGCAACGGCTTGCCGCTTTCTCCTCAAAGTTCCCTTCCCCCCCTCCATGCAACACCTCCTCCCCCACACAACACCACCTTCCCCACACAACACCACCTTCCCCACACAACACCACCTTCCCCACACAACACCACCTTCCCCACACAACACCACCTTCCCCACACAACACCACCTTCCCCACACACCACCACCTTCCCCACACAACACCACCTTCCCCACACAACACCTCCTTCCCCACACAACACCACCTTCCCCACACAACACCTCCTTCCCCACACAACACCTCCTTCCCCACACAACACCTCCTTCCCCACACAACACCTCCTTCCCCACACAACACCTCCTTCCCCACACAACACCTCCTTCCCCACACAACACCACCTTCCCCACACAACACCTCCTTCCCCACACAACACCACCTTCCCCACACAACACCTCCTTCCCCACACAACACCTCCTTCCCCACACAACACCTCCTTCCCCACACAACACCTCCTTCCCCACACAACACCTCCTTCCCCACACAACACCTCCTTCCCCACACAACACCTCCTTCCCCACACAACACCTCCTTCCCCACACAACACCTCCTTCCCCACACAACACCTCCTTCCCCACACAACACCTCCTTCCCCACACAACACCTCCTTCCCCACACAACACCTCCTTCCCCACACAACACCTCCTTCCCCACACAACACCTCCTTCCCCACACAACACCTCCTTCCCCACACAACACCTCCTTCCCCACACAACACCTCCTTCCCCACACAACACCTCCTTCCCCACACAACACCTCCTTCCCCACACAACACCTCCTTCCCCACACAACACCTCCTTCCCCACACAACACCTCCTTCCCCACACAACACCTCCTTCCCCACACAACACCACCTTCCCCACACAACACCTCCTTCCCCACACAACACCTCCTTCCCCACACAACACCTCCTCCCCCACACAACACCTCCCCCACACAACACCTCGCCCCCCATGCAACACCCCCCCCCATGCAACACCCCCCCCCCCCATGCAACACCCCCCCCCATGCAACACCCCCCCCCATGCAACACCCCCCCCCCCATGCAACACCTCCCACACCATAACCCCCCTCCCACAGGTCCTGACAGTTGGGTGGACAGCGCTTCGGATTCGTAGTCCTGAGGTTCTGGGTTCGATCCCCGGTGGAGGCGGAAACAAATGGGGAGAGTTTTTCACCCTGATGCCTCTGTTACCTAGCAGTAAATAGGTACCTGGGAGTTAGACAGCTGCTACGGGCTGCTTCCTGGGGGTGTGTAACAAAAAGGAGGCCTGGTCGAGGACCAGGTCGTCGAGGTTGCTAAGCCCCAAAATCATCTCAAGATAACCTCATGAGAACCACTATAACCCCCTCCAACACCATAACCCTCCCTCCCCCCCCCCACACCATAACCCTCCCTCCCCCCTCACACCATAACCTTCCCCCCCCCCCCCCCACACCATAACCCTCCCTCCCCCCTCACACCATAACCTTCCCCCCCCCCCTCACACCATAACCTTCCCCCCCCCCTTCCCACTATAACCCTCCCCCCCTTCTCACTATAACCCTCCCCCCCCTTCTCACTATAACCCTCCCCCCCCTTCTCACTATAACCCTCCCCCCCTTCTCACTATAACCCTCCCCCCTTCTCACTATAACCCTCCCCCCTCCCACTATAACCCTCTCCCCTCCCACTATAACCCTCCCCCCTCCCACCCTAACCCTCCCCCCTCCCACCCTAACCCTCCCCCCTCCCACCCTAACCCTCCCCCCTCCCACCCTAACCCTCCCCCCCCTCCCACCATAACCCTCCCCCCCTCCCACCATAACCCTCCCCCCCTCCCACCATAACCCTCCCCCCCTCCCACCATAACCCTCCCCCCCTCCCACCATAACCCTCCCCCCCCTCCCACCATAACCCTCCCCCCCCCCTTCCACCATAACCCTCCCCCCCCCTTCCACCATAACCCTCCCCCCCCCCTTCCACCATAACCCTCCCCCCCCCTTCCACCATAACCCTCCCCCCTCCCACCATAACCCTCCCCCCTCCCACCATAACCCTCCCCCCCTCCCACCATAACCCTCCCCCCTCCCATCATAACCCTCCCCCCCTCCCATCATAACCCTCCCCCCCTCCCACCATAACCCTCCCCCCCTCCCACCATAACCCTCCCCCCCTCCCACCATAACCCTCCCCCCCCCCTCCCACCATAACCCTCCCCCCCCCTCCCACCATAACCCTCCCCCCCCTCCCACCATAACCCCCCCCTCCCACCATAACCCTCCCCCCCCTCCCACCATAACCCTCCCCCCCCTCCCACCATAACCCTCCCCCCCCCCTCCCACCATAACCCTCCCCCCCCTCCCACCATAACCCTCCCCCCCCCCTCCCACCATAACCCTCCCCCCCCCTCCCACCATAACCCTCCCCCCTCCCACCATAACCCTTCCCCCCTCCCACCATAACCCTTCCCCCCCCCCTCCATCTAACCCTTCCCCCCCCCTCCATCTAACCCTTTCCCCCCCCTCCATCTAACCCTTCCCCCCCCTCTATCTAACCCTTGCCCCCCCCACTAACCCTTCCCCCCCCTCCCACTAACCCTTCCCCCCCCCTCCCACTAACCCTTCCCCCCCCTCCCACTAACCCTTCCCCCCTCCCACTAACCCTTTTCCCCCCTCCCACTAACCCTTTTCCCCCCTCCCACTAACCCTTCCCCCCCCCTCCCACTAACCCTTCCCCCCCCCTCCCACTAACCCTTCCACTAACCCTTCCCCCCTCCCCTCCCACTAACCCTTCCCCCCTCCCCTCCCACTAACCCTTCCCCCCTCCCCTCCTACTAACCCTTCCACTAACCCTTCCCCCCCTCCCCTCCTCCCCTCCCACTAACCCTTCCCCCCTCCCCTCCCACTAACCCTTCCCCCCTCCCCTCCCACTAACCCTTCCCCCCTCCTCCCACTAACCCTTCCCCCCTCCTCCCACTAACCCTTCCCCCCTCCCCTCCCACTAACCCTTCCCCCCTCCTCCCACTAACCCTTCCCCCCTCCTCCCACTAACCCTTCCCCCCTCCTCCCACTAACCCTTCCCCTCCCTCCCACGCTAAAAAAACAAAGGTGCCGAAAAGTATTAAAAAGTTATCTTTTGCAAACGAGTGGTAGACGGTTAAAACAAAAGTGAGAAAGTTGTGGAGGCCAAAACCATCAGTAGTTTCAAAGCATTATTTGACAGTGTACTGGGAAGAGTTGACACCACAAGTGTAGCTCTCATCCTGTAACTATACTTAGGTAATTACACACACTCCCTCCCCACCTGCTGGCCCGCCCTTTCCCCTCTCTTCCCTCTGCCCAACATCCCCCCCCACACTCCCATTCCCCTGCCCCCACACTCCCATTCCCCTGCCCCCACACTCCCATTCCCCTGCCCCCACACTCCCATTCCCCTGCCCCCACACTCCCATTCCCCTGCCCCCACACTCCCATTCCCCTGCCCCCACACTCCCATTCCCCTGCCCCCACACTCCCATTCCCCTGCCCCCACACTCCCATTCCCCTGCCCCCACACTCCCATTCCCCTGCCCCCACACTCCCATTCCCCTGCCCCCACACTCCCATTCCCCTGCCCCCACACTCCCATTCCCCTGCCCCCACACTCACTCCCCCCTTTTCCTCTCACTCTCCCCCTTTTCCTCTCTCCTCCCCCTTTTCTCACACTCTCCCCTTCCCTTTTTCTCTCACTCCCCTCCTTACATTTTCCCCCTCACACTCCCTCTCACACACCCACCTCCACTCTCTCTCACTCCCTTTTCCTCTCACTCCCTAAACAATTCAAGAAGATTCTTCATGCTCTACTTTAATTTAAATACTGTACAGAAATAAGTGTACTAGATATGGTAAACATAGGCATATAAGCAGTAAGAATTAAGCCAATGTTAACATCATTTTCTGCCCTCCCAATATTTGACACCATTACAGATATTGAGACCATTCAATCATATAAATGCTTGTCTTTATATCTCTGTAATAATTTTGTTTTAATAATTCATTTTTTTGGCAGCTGCTTCTCCACCAGTGAAGGAGGGTGAGGCAGGCTACAAGGACTGGGTCTTCATCAACTATACCTACAAGCGGTTTGAAGGTCTTACTCAGAGAGGTCTCATACGTCCATAGGACAAGAAATGTGCTTCACTGGATGTGACATGTGGTCCTGGGACAGAAACATGACCCAGACAGTGATTGTATTGTGTGTCATGTGTAAGGTTTGTGACAAACACTTTATCTAGAGCTTGTGATAAGGGTGCAGTGTGATCTTGAATACAACACTTATCATCTTGGCTCTTTTGACCTGAATAGTGGTTTCAATAGTATCTCAACAAGTGCAGTAACACTGAACTCAAATCCTGATGAAATTGTTGCATCCATGCGATGGATGCCTCTTGCAGGGTGACATCTAGGGAAAGGCTGGCGAGTGAAGTAGCAGTCTCAGGATAACAAACTATGCTACATAGTTTCTCAGGTCTTAAGACTCATCTTTATTATTTTTTCAACATTCAGAACAGTGCCACAAAATTATCAGAGAAATATATCAAACCATCTCCCACCTTTTCCCTTATGTTATGGATAGTGTTCACACACCCTACAAATGTGGCACTATGCATAAAGCACATGTATTCTCGTGTGTTGTGCCCAACTACTTCAGTTGGTAGAGCATCCTCAGCTTGGTCTACTGGTGGATCTACTCACCAGTAGGTGAAGATGTCTTGGTGTTGTACATCACTATCTCCCACTATGTGAGAGATAGTTCTTACATCCTTTCTCATAGGATATTTTTTTATGTCTTTTTATCATTTTTATGATTATGGGACCTAGTAAAGCTATTGTTTTTATTTTTTCAAGCATGATTAGAAACTTGTGTTTCAGTAATCAGTGTGAATATTGCATTATAGTTTTAATGTGATTTTAGCTAAGCCTTACAGCTGATGACAAACTGTGATAGATTCCCAGCAAAACAGTGGTTGAATGTACCCTTCAGTGATATTTTTAGTTTCATCACTTAAGCGTTTCAGTTTTTTTTAATAGTATTATTTGTGCTTTCTTGCACATAAACCAGTGAGATGAAGTTATTCAACACCTTTGGACTGCAGAAAGCAAAGAACATGGATATCCTGAACTGGAAATGAGTGACCCCCAAAATATAATGACCAGGAATTGTATCTCAGATGAATAAGTTGGCATTGCTTATAGTTTAGTATTTACTAATATTTGCCAGTCCTTTTCATTTGTAACTTCTCCATTTCACCTCATATTTTAGTATTTATTTTGTTCATATTGCATCATTTTTATAAAAATGAAAAAGAAGTGGCATATATGAAAACGTTAAGGACTTTGGTTTAGTAATGGTAATATGTTGTTCTTTGTGAAGTGCTACCTTCTCCTTATAAGCCAAGGTTGTGAATGTGCATATTTTGATGGAGGAATAGTTTAGTTTCATTACTGTAGATAAATAATGTGCCCTGTTAACAATAAAGTTATATTTGAATGTAAGCACTGACAGCAGAATATTTTATAGTTCTCAAATAAGTTTTAAAGAAAAGCAAATTTGCAGTATTTACTTGTTTGAGCCACAAAAATATGCATAATCCCACCCCAGTGAATGGTTACATCTTTAGTAAAGTGATTACAGTGATCTTTAACACAGTGATTATTAAAGAAAGCCTATATTAGTGTTAGAAGTTTTAATTTCCAGACACTTTGTGTTAGTACAATATATTGGTATCAAGTGCAATTGGGTTGTCCATGTTAGATTTGTTTTACTTTTGAATAGTAAAATTAAGTGTGTAGATGCAAAGAAAAATTAAATAGTTTTATTTCAAATGATGTTACTTAATGCAGTCTGTAATAAGTTTTAGATATGGTGTTACAGTACCAGTTAAAACTGAAGTAGGAAAGAGGTTTCACTTTAAATATTTTGCGACTTGTAAGTGTGGCTGAAGAGTGGTAAAAGGCCAAACACATACAGCTGCTGGTAGGGATTGGGCCATCCCTTGTGTAGATAGCATAACATTTTAGTTCAATGTCTAATGTAATTTATTTTATTGTACATAATCTTTTCTTTAAAAAAAAAATAAATGCATAGATTGTGTCGAGTGTTGTGCATAAGCGGTTGACTGAAATTTGTGATTTAGCATCATTATTTATTTTGAAGCTTGTCTGAGTTAGTTTATAAGTGAAATGTGTTCAGTTTATACCCAAATAATTAAAAATTCAGTTCAGTTCTTTTACTCAGCTGTGAGTATAAACCCAGGAATTAATTTCAAATAGTATTTTATTTGGAAGAATGCAGTTGTAACTGTTAATCTTTAAAATAATTAAGAATAAATTTTGAAAGTGAAATAAAAAAAATTACATTAAAAGTATTTTCAAAACTTATTATTTGCATCACACAAATTAAGAGAGTGGTGATGGTGCAAGTGGTTGATACCGACTGCTATTGCTAATGTTGCAGTAGGAATGTGTGTCGTGTTGCATAGGTTTGTGGAGCAAGTAACTCTATTTACCATAACATCTAATTGGCAGATGCAAAATTTGAATTTCATTGTAAATTGCAAGACAGTCTCTGTAAAGATCAAGAAAAGTAGGTTGTGTTTATGACTGTTTAAAATTTACAATGTAACTACAGTCTTGCTAACCACTAAGCCTTAATCCAATTGTTTTTTAGCCTCAGCATAGTGCAGTTCAAGGGTGTATTTCTCAGCATCTAGGTAGATTATACTGTTTTGCTGCAAGTGTATAGTATCTGAATAAAAATACATTCCTCATGATGTAATTAGTGACTAAAAAGATTGCCACATTGTATCTGGCAGTGTACAGTAATCTTTCTTTTTATTGATAAGTAAATCTCCTAAAAACTTTCTAGCTCTCTTGAGAGTGTGTAAGTACCGTCCGTGGGACACATTGTGGAATAAAAGGGTAAAAATATCAATTGATTTAGATTAGTTTGACCTCGTATCACTTAAAGTATTTGAAAATTTGGCAATCCGATTTTTATTTATACATTCTGTATCGTAAAAAAATTGTATTTTTCATGTCTGAATTGTATGTTTCATCAGGTATCATTCTTAGACATAAACTAATACAATTAATCAAACTGCTTTGCCAGAGAAATTATTTTTCCTGCTGATGAAATAGCATGAGATCTAATCTTTGTTTTGAGTTTCTAATGTTCTTACAATACCATTTCCTTCATTGTAATTATAACAGTCATAATAGGCCTGGGAACAGTCATCAGTCTTGCTTCTCAGTGCACAGTAAAATAGTTTTACTACAGATGTAATGTGTAAGAAAAATCAACATTCTGGGATTAGTATCTAAGGTGTAAAGCAGTTGAACACTTAACAATTTACCCTTAACAAATATATTAACTTGCCCATCACCTGAGGAGCCCATCTTATTTGTGTATAACATGTGGCTCCAACCATGGGGTTCCAAGGGAGATCTCGTGTAAATATAGAGAATGCAGTAGCTCCTGTAACTAGTCACCAATAAAAGATAATATAACCTGATTATATTTTTTTATTAGCAACTTTTGTATGTCATTACAAATACATTAAAAATGTATCCATTGTCTTTTAACATTCAGCACTTCACTATTTTGACATCTCTCATGGTTGGTTCCTTGATGTGGTTTCAGTGATCAGTTGAGTTAATCCTTTGGTTTAAGTTAAGCGAGGCAAAAGACTGTCCTGAGATTTCATGCAACTAGTATGTTTTTACCTACATGGAGTCTCATATATTATACTGCACTTCCCTTTATCAGTTGAATCTACCCAGGAACAGCAGTACCTGTGGGAAAACATGCTTCTTTGGTGAGGGATATGGATTAAATGGGAGGCTGTGTGGAATGGCTGAATCAACAGTTTAGTTTAGCTGGCTGAACTAAATCTGCCCTCACATTGTTGGGAGTAGGAGCTAAGAGAGATTCAAGTCATTATTTGGTAATTTTTTGTTGTTCTTGACCAAACCACAACTCAAGCTGGAGAATGCGACCACGTTTTGGTCTGTCCTGGAACATTATCAAGCCTTTTGCTGTTCATCTTCACTGAGACATGTTTAGTGAGTGAGAAGCCCATAATAGTTTTTCCTACAAATTTGCTTCACTGGAGAAAAGCTGGCTTGCAGTCCTATAATTGTTATAGTGAACTTTGACCTATGCTCCAGCTGCCACACTTCTTTACACTTGTTTTATCTGTTGGCTGTCATTACTGCAATTGAACTAGTATACATTGCTGCTAAAGCAGCATTTCATATCAATCGCATCTCTCCGAAATTAGTTCCTTGGATTTCAACCTTGTCATATTGCCTTCCATGACAGTTGGAGAAAGGTGGGTTGCAATTATTGATCATAAATTGCATGCAATCCTATCGAATATCTCTTATCCCCCCTAACCCTTCCTCTGCACCTTATTGTCAAAACTGCATTTTTCAATTATCAGTTGCTTGCCATATAAATGCCCTGATTTTCAGGATTGTAAGTTTTACTTTATATAGGCCCATTTTAGCTGGTAAAATATTCAATAACTCCTCTGACAGATCATCTTTTTTACTCTCATATTGGCATCCTGAATGTTATCCAGAAACTGACTATTGTGACATACTGTACAGTATAGCAAAACTTGTTCATCACTTTTGATAATTACTGTACTTTGACCACTCAAACATAGCTGGTGTTGTAGATAATTAAAAGCTGCATTTCAAATCACACCGATTTGAGTGAGTGAGTCACTGCATTATTGATTCACTCATTTCTATAAGCACTGGGATCATCTTTCAACCTCGTGTTCTGACACAAACGGTATTGCTTATACTGTACATATTAGTAAGCCTCCAGTGACAATTGCCAAATATGTTACTGAACTTAGAGCACCAGAGAAATGTTCATTTTGCTCAATATCTCTGGAGGTAGGCCCATTAAGGATTATTATGAAGTTGCACATTATTTTGGAGTGCCAAGGATACTCGGTCATCCAGGACTCCCATCATGGCACATGATTTGGCATCCTCAGCATGGCAAAAATAATGTTATGAAGGGCCCTTTCTATCTTTCATTCTCAGTGATTATCAGGAGGCCAAATGTTATACCAAGAAATGTCCTTTATCTTAAATCTGATTCCCATGCTTATGCAATATTTATCCAGGTTGGATAAATGTTACGAGTGGAGAACTACAGGGTTCAGTTTTTGCACCGATACTGTTCGTTATCTACACAAATGATCTACCAGAAGGAATACATATTTATACGAACATGTTTGCTAGTGATGCCAAGATACTAGGGAAGATAAGAAACGTAAATGATTATCATGCCCTTCAAGAAGAGCTGGACAAAATAAGTGTATAGAGCAACACTCGGCAAATGGAACTTGAAGTGAATAAATGCCATGCTATGGAATGTAAATAGGAGGAAATAGGACACACACAACCTACAAATTATGTAAAACATCTTTAAAAAATTTTGATAATACAATACAATACAATACAATTTTATTTAGGTAAGGTACATACATACAATAAATTTTTACAAGGATTGGTAGACTTATAGGTAGAGCTAGTACATACAATGCCTAAAGCCACTATTACGCAAAGCGTTTCGGGCATAAAGAAAAAGATTTCGTAGTGGTTCTTGATAGAAAACTGTCACCTGAAGACCACATAAAGAACATTGTGTGAGGAGCCTATGCTACACTTCCCAATTTCATAATTTATTTTATAAAACATGGATGATGAATATCAAAGAAAGTGTTCACGACCTTTGTGAAACTAAAGCTGGAATATGCAGTGGTTGTATGTTGCCCATATCTTAAGCACATTAATAAACTTGAATAGGTGCAAAGACATGGACCTAAATGTCTTGCGGAATTAATCTACAAGGAGAGGTTAGAGGCATTAAACATGCCAGAAGATAGAAGGAAAAGAGGTAATATAATCACTTGAGTACAAAATAGTAACGGGAATCGGCAAAATTGATGAAGAAGGATCATTGAGACCGGAGCTTCAAGAACAAGATGTCATAGAATTAATCTAACTAAGCAAAGCTGCCGAAAAAAATATTAGAAAATTTAATTATGCAAACAGAGCTTTAGACGGTTGGAATAAGTTAAGAAAGTGGAGGCCAAAACCGTCAGTAGTTTCAAAGTGTTATACAAGAGTACTGGGAAGACGGGACACAACGAGTGTAGCTCTCATCATGTAACTGCACTTAGGTAATTATCATATGTAGCAAGAAGGTAGCATTCTTAGTGTGATCCAAGGAGCACCACAAAAAAGGTAACGTTGTTAACGTGATCCAGGGAGCACAACCTGGAGATGGTAATGTTACTTGTTCCACACAAGCAAAAAGAATGACAAGGGTTGAACTAATACGTAGTATAAGAGTGAAGTCTGTGACGTATTTGATCCTCAAATAATTATGGTTGTACATTGTTGACCACAGATGTGCCGGCGATATAATTGTGCTTCGGCAATCATATATGAAGTAATTTACTTTTTGTTTTATTATTTTACGAGAAAATAGTTAGCCAAACGACACTGCAACATTGATATGAGTTGGTGGTCCGTGATTGGCGCGAGTCAGTCTATAAACCCGTGACACCTGTGTATCTGTGGAACATCTGTGAACCTGTGAACACCTGTTGGCGTTTACACAGACGCTACAATTTCTCGAATGAAGCCTCGTCTTAACTTAAACCACATGAGCTACCACCTGTAAGGCCATAAGGGTTTAGAATGTTCATAGATGTAACGAGGGTATGTTATTGGAATTTAAAATGCACTAAAATCTGAATGAAGAAGAAAAATTTATTCATCTTTTAAAACAATCACCAGGAAGCCTTTTAGGTTCATCGAGATTATCCTAACCAATAGCAAGGCTATCCGCTCGGTCTCTGCGCTCATGGGATAGATATGGGGTCCACTACCGCTCACGGGATGGATATGGGGTCCACTACCGCTCACGGGATGGATATGGGGTCCACTACCGCTCACGGGATGGATATGGGGTCCACTACCGCTCAAGGGATGGATATGGGGTCCACTACCGCTCACGGGATGGATATGGGGTCCACTACCGCTCACGGGATGGATATGGGGTCCACTACCGCTCACGGGATGGATATGGGGTCCACTACCGCTCACGGGATGGATATGGGGTCCACTACCGCTCACGGGATGGATATGGGGTCCACTACTGCTCACGGGATGGATATGGGGTCCACTACCGCTCACGGGATGGATACGGGGTCCACTACCGCTCACGGGATAGATATGGGGTCCACTACCGCTCACGGGATGGATATGGGGTCCCCTACCGCTCACGGGATGGATATGGGGTCCACTACCGCTCACGGGATGGGTATGAGGTGCATAATAAATTAACAGTCAAATAAAGTTCATTTGTATCAAGACAGATCATTAAACTTTAAATCCGTGCAAAGTTCTCCTACTCTACAATGTTCCCTGCTGCTTTAGAACGAATATGCAGTTAGGCTGCATGGAGAAACTCAATCATATTTCCTGGAAACTAATGGTGTATGTCGCAGTGGATGTTGAGTGGTTCATTTGGTGAACACCGTCTAGTCTGGCCAGTAACTGGCTGGGTGACCACACGGACTGATTCGTCCTAGGATATCTAGGCTAGGACAGGATATCGAGGCAAGGCGAACCTGGGTAAGCTACGTAAAAGGCTTCCTATCTCTGACATCGGGAAAACAAACTAATCCTTTATCTAACTACAGCGGACGACGTTATCTATCCGCAGTAGATGACGTTATATATCCACAGTGGGTGACGTTATCTATCCCTAGTGGATGACGTCATCTATCCCTAGTGGATGACATTATGCATCCGCAGTGGGTGACGTTATGTATTCCCAGTGTGTGAGCGAGGAGCAGCTGGCAGGCCACTTGCGTGGAGAGGCGAGCAGCAGCAGCAGCAGCAGCAGCAGTAGGGCCGTGATCACGCTACCTGGCCACACCTTCACTGCTCAGGCTTCAACTCTCACCCACACTTAAACACGAAATTTAAAAACGAGTTCTTTGATTACGCGAGATAATTCGATAACTGTATCCTTCCTGAGTATTATACCTGTGAATCTACGCGTGCTAACCAAGTCTTGTATCTTGAAATATATAGTGTATCTGGGAAATGGCGATGAAAAAGTTACACGTATAAAGAAACTAGTGTGAAGACTTGAAATTTGGTTTTTGTTTTATGATAAAAGCGAGCATATGAGGTTATGAGGTGGTGAGAGAATGATACCTCGGACTCGCGTTTCGACAAACACCAAGATAATCCCCAGTGTGGAGGAGTGATCACGGCTCGCAGTGTGTCAGTGTGTGTACGTGGTTGTGCCCAGTGTGATCACGTCTTCTCTTTACCTTCATACTTGCCTCACGTCACCGTGCCCATTATTTAAGGCTACATCTCTCGATTTACCTGGAAAATAAACAGTTATCAGGCTTTTCAATAAGATACAAATAATTACATACTGCGTAGTGCCAAGAATTATATATTTGTTTTAGACACAAACTATAAAGGAGGTAATTTCGTTGTGACACGAGCGGAAGCTAGTGTCTCGTCAACAAGTGATATTATGACATTGGATTTTCCATCGGACTACTCTAGGTGTTGTCTTCGGAAAATCCAACAGTTTTCTTTTAATTTTAGAAAGGAGTTTGTGGTATCATTTCTCTCAAATCGAGATAAAAGAGGCCGAGAGTGAACATGTTGAGGGAGAGTTCTGTGACCTACTCGAGCTTGCCTCAGGATGAAGGAAGTACCTCGCCGACCACCTTCGTCACCACCCGACCCACCACCAACACACACATCCAGCGAGACTGCTACCTCGCCGGCATCATCACAGCTCTGGTCATCATCTGCGGTCTCTCTGTGGCTGTTATCGTGCCACTGACTCTGAAATATCGAACACAGGCCAGTGGACGCGGCGAGCTCTCTGGACAATTGGTAAAACTAGTTGGTAACGTCACCCACACGCAGCAACTTGGATCCTCAAGTAATACTACGCAGAAAGAAGGATCTTCAAGTAATATCAGCAGTACACATCAGCAAGGATCTTCAAGTAACCTCACCAACTACCAACAACAAGGAAATCTTAATACAACCATTGCAGCATCCGACGGTGAAACTTCGATACAGCAAGATTCAACCAAGAAGCCGGAGACTACGACTACTACTACTACAACGACCACCACAACCATAACTACCACCTCTACCACCCCTACCACTCCGAAGAAGACCATAGTGCCCTCCGGCCCACCTAAGAACCTCGGAGGAGCAGGAGCCGGACAAAGTGGGGCGACAAGCAAGCCTTCGGGAAACGCAACTGCTTCACACCAAGCTGGAGGCCAAGGCTCCGAGGGACAACATATCTCGGTATGTTGATGTTCAGTCTTTATTATTATAGTTACAAACGTAACATATGGTTATTTAAAACCTTGTTCATAATAATTTGTAGACATATTTTTTCACATCAAAATATTCACATAGTGCTGCTTACAATCGGCTGAAGAGTAAATATGTGCGATAAACTCATGTTAATTCTTTGTGTCGGGGGACAGGCAGCCAGTATATACATATAGTATATGTTAGGCTTATATCAAGGTCCCCCAAAGGTCGAATTACTGACCCTTCTCAGGATGCAACCCCACAACATGCTGACTAATTCCTGTCCCGTCCGGGATTCGAACCCGGAATTATCGATTGTCAGTCGAGAACATTATATGGGAAGTCAAGCACGTATTGCCCGGACCATCTGAGGATCTGACATGCTTGGGATATAATCAAATGCTTCCTGTGTGTATGTGTGTAGGTTTATGTATAGGTGCACACGTGTCAATATGTGTGTTCACCTATTATTGACCAACTGTTACCCATTGGTCACTGTCTGCCTGTTGACTGTTTACCGTTGGTCATTGATTTACTTGTTGAGCAGTAACTGTTGGCCACTGGGTGTGGATCCCCACCTATGGATCACCGACATTTTACCTGTTGTCCACTAACTTTACATGTTGACAACTGCCCCCCACCCTCCTCTTTCTCTCCTTCCCTCCCTCCTTCCCTCCCACATAGCCATCACGGTTAATACAACTTTGTGTCCCAACAGAAGGCAGGAGGCTCTGCGCAGAATGTCAGTAAGGAGGATATTCTCAACTCTATCTACGGGAAGGGCGACCATTCAACTAAGCCGTCTTCCACGAAGGGCTTAAGTGAATGGATGGTGAGTAATTTGGATAGTAAGATGGATAGTCGATTGATTAATGAAGATTAAGCCACCCAAGAGGTGGCATGGGCATGAATAGCCCGTAAGATGGATAGTCTAGAATAGATTCAGATTCAGATTCAGATGTTTATTCAGGTAAGGTATATACAGACAAGTGATGTTACATTAATGGATTGATATATAGATAGAGCTAGTACATACAATGCCTAAAGCCACTATTACGCAATGCGTTTCGGGCAAGAAAAACATTAATATCTAGAACTTAATACTAATTGAGCATAAAGAATAAAAAGTGTTGAGAACAAATACAAATAAAGTTTGTGTATATTATACTGTGGGCAAACCCACAGTATAATAGTTGTATTATACTGTGGATATTCTGTATAAGTTAATAGTGGAATAAATAGTGAAAAGATAGAAGGATATTATACATAAATAGTGCGGAGAGAGAGAGAGAGAGAGAGAGAGAGAGAGAGAGTGTGTGTGTGTGTGTGTGTGTGTGTGTGTGTGTGTGTGTGTGTGTGTGTGTGTGAGTGTGTGTGTGTGTGTGTGTGTGTGTGTGTGTGTGTGTGTGTGTGTGTGTGTGTGTGTGTTTTGATGAACCGGTTCATAATTTGTCTGTTCCTCTATGTGATTTACTGATAAATAATTAAAATATTAACGACACAGTTTTCTATTAATAATATTTTATTTCCCCACCACTAATGTCATGCTTCCCCACCACCAATGCTACTCTTCCCCACCACCAATGCTACTCTTCCCCACCACCAACGCTACACTTTCCCAGCACTAACGTCAACATGTCCACCAGAACGATATGATGGCGCGCCACGACTCGGCGACGCTGGTGGTGATGGCGGTGGTGGTGGCTGTAGGGAGCGCGGCGGTGCTGGTGGCGGCGTCGTGGCTGGTGATGAGGCGCGTCGCTGCCCACAGGCGACGCATCAACATACAGGTGTGTGTGTGTGCAGGGCCACATATAGTTTGTGCCTGCATACCTCACTCTCCTTACGTAAGGAGGAGAGTAACTCCTTACTGTGGCTACGGGGAGTGAGGTCGTGGCTAGTCTTGAAGTTGTGTATATGTATGTGGAGAGAAGAGGAGGACACCAAGGTACACACACACACACACATACACATACATAATGGGGGCCTGGTGGCTCTGGTCTCCTAATCCTTAAGGGTCTGGGTTCGATCCCGGTGATGGCAGAAACAAAATGGGCAAAGCTTCTTTCACCCTGGACATTTTCAAGAGGAAACTAGATTTATTCCTCCAAGGAGTGCCGGACCAACCGGGCTGTGGTGGGTATGTGGGCCTGCGGGCCGCTCCAAGCAACAGCCTAGTGGTCCAAACTCTCACAAGTCAAGCCTGGCCTCGGGCTGGGCTTGGGGAGTAGAAGAACTCCCAGAACCCCATCAACCAGGTAACCCTGAGCTGAACCCTGATGCCCCCTGTTACTTAGCAGTAAATAGGTACCTGGGAGTTAGACAGCTGCTACGGGCTGCTTGCTTCCTGTGTGTTGATCTTGAATGGCAGAAATCCACTCGACCTCATTCCTACTGATGTAAGGTGTTTCTCGAACATGCTCAGTATCCTTCCTACTCTTTTATGTCATCCAAACTGATGGTTTGGTCTTATCAGTCCATATTGTAGCAAGTAGTGGGCCTCTTTACTAAGAATGATGCATTTTGAGGGATGCAGTAAAATATATTGATGCTGGTTACCATGATATTACAGTGTACTGCAGATCATGGTTGTCATCAAACACACCTGAGGATGATTAAATCAACTGAAATTGCCAGCGGCAATCTTTGGCCGAAGTCAATTCTATATTTCTAAAACGAGTGATAGGATTACTAAGATCTTTTTAACTAAAAAGTGTTTACTCTCACACTCACCATAACAATTATATATAAATGCGTCGCCACTATTGATAACTACTCACACAACGGCTGAGTTTGACTCAACATTTATTATGTCTGTCTTACGCTTCCCAGGAATATCACGCAAGTATTTCACTGACCCTAACCTTTCTCTCAGTAACTAGCTTTAGAATTAGTGAGATAACGGTAGTAAGATGATACATAACAATATCTCCAGGCTCAGTGTTCTCACCTTAATATTATTGTTCTCACCTTAATACTTGTTAAATTTGTCTTCAGTCTTGACTTGCACTTTACCTAAATGTCCCAGAAAAATTGCACATTCAATCTGCAGTTTCTGTTTTAAATTAAGTAACATAAAACAGTTTTAGTTTAGTCATTTATTATGCACCTCATACCCACCCAGCGGCGTTAACCCTTACCACCAACGCCCACAGGATAGGTATCGGGCGAATAATAAATCACTAACCAACACCTATCAACTAACTAATATTTCCTCGCTAAACTTTACCTGACATATCATTTGTTTCGTCATTTTCAGTGGGCCTCGTACTTCCTGGCCGAGAATAATAAGGAATGGTGAACAACAAAGAGAGTCTTGAATGGTCGCTCTGGCAGCGAATATTCAGGACATTCCCTCATCCTGCTCATTCCCTGTTTTGAGGCAAAAACCACTGTCCATAGTCGTTTAGTGCAATCTTATCAAAACATCTAAGGGTGGTATAGGCTAAAGTTTTTATGTACAATTCACAATATTCCAAAAATTTCTAGACTTATAATTGTTCCCATGTTATGCCTACACAACCTTTGACAATCTAAACAAAGTACTTTATTTGGCCAAATGGTTGATGGCATATGTTGGCTTTATTATCCTTACAGGAATTTCTGTTTTAACAAATCATGATAAGTAATTATAGATATTTCCACCTTTATTTTAGCCAATGGCCTTAGAAGGGGGGGGGGTAGAAATAGCCTAAGCTACTCTATCCCTTTGAGATGTATTTATTGCTTATCTCAATAAACATACTTGAACTTGAACTTAGATAATCCATTAGGATTTGTGTAAATGGTTCTTTCCTCACAAGTCCCAAAAGCAAACAGCAGTTTGCAATGGAACTTTAGAACTAACCTGATTATGTTTGTTTTATTGTTAGTTATGTTATTCAGTTGTTTACAGTTTTTAACAACGTCCCTTTCACTCAAAGCCAATAAATATATGATACGTAATTGTTGCTTTTCTTGATGTCCGTCCAGTGGGGCATCATGTATCATACTTAATACTTGCTTTCCGTAGGCAGTGAGCAACGTCACTTCATTGGGGAACTACCTCCCATTCAGTGGAAGAGGGACGTGTCCATTTTCTCACAGAAAGATGGTTCTTTTAGCAGTAACCAGTAGCTTCGTCTGTCCTCTCCTCTTCAGTCAAGGCTAAATTATGACATTCGATAAAGTTTGGATTAATCTTTTGTACATTGCAAAATGGCATTCTAGACGTAATGATGATCTCGAGTGACAGAAAGCCACTCGACCTCATTCCTACTGATGTAAGGCGTTTCTCGAACATGCTCACTATCCTACCCTCTCTTTTATGTCATCCAAACTGTTGTACTTGATCTGTTGCGTCATCTATTGATGCGTTGCTCGAACCTTGTGCTGTCCGGGTTAGAGGCATGGCATTGTTGACAAGACGATCGTTCACACTATGGACTGGCAGGCTTTGTGTCGTATATTTATGTATTGCTAAATGTTTAACGTATCATTTATAGGTGTATGAATATGAATATTATATTTATATGTATATTACTGATCACATTTGCCCTGTCAGAATGTGATTACAGACCTTCAGACCAGAGATAAGATCGTCCTTCTGAACTCTGAAGAAGAAGAAGAGGAATAGCCCAAAATCTGCCCCAAAGTTTGACGATGATGAAGCGAGAATGTGATGAGAAATTGTGAATTACAAATTATAGCTGAAGAAGAAATAACAGCATAGTTAGAATGATGAAGGGTGAACATTTCTAGCTGTGAAGGAATCCTATTGAAGAGAATATACGCCAATACTGAATCCGAAAGAAAGTTTTACTAAGTTTTACATGCATAAATCAAACAATATCTCTCCTGGTCTGTAGAGAGTTTAAGAAATGGTCACTCAGAATGTTTAAACTGCACCGAGAGTAGCGTTAAATTAAGGGTAACCTGTTATCAGGAAATACAACTTATAGAGACACACGATGAGTCACAATAACGGGGCTGAAGATGTAATGACCAAACAACACATCAGAAAATGAAGAAACGACGACATTTCGGTCCGTCCTGGACCATTATCATGATAATGATAAATTATAATGACTTGATTGCTAAATTACATCAAACATTTTCTGATGTGTAGTTTGGTTATCACAACTTCTAGAGGTATTTTACATATTACAGCTAGCATAATAGTGATCTTGAGGCCAATATATATTTATTATATCAAGTAGCTATCTTATCTTGCAAGTCGTTGGTAATCACGTGAGTAGAGGTCATCTGAGTTATCTCTCTTAACAACAGCAGTAGTCCAAACTGTTGTGTGCTCTGGCTCACAGTCGCTATCTCTTTATTTGCTCGTCAGCTTAGAATTTATATCGTAATGAATGAATTAAGATTACTTCATAGTCGATACGCGATACTATAGGATTTTTCATAGGCAATGTCTAGCTAGTTTTCGAAAGGATGTTTTACGAATTATTATTGTTACGTTCAAAGAAATGTTCTTGAATATTTCACAGGAACTCACTATATGAGGTTTCATAGTTATAGTCACTTAAAGATCTTACCAGGATGTTCATGACTACAATTGCATAAAGATCTTGTTATGTTATATTTATATAGAACTTATTGATACAACCTAAGGTCATTATGTTATGATAACCACCACATATATCAGAAAACTCTTGACCGCTGAGAATTCAAACTCGGTCTGCCATGGCCTCCATGCCCCATGGTGTGTCCAGTACTATAACCACTCTGCCAATATACTGTACAAATAGTCCCCAGCATGTTGACTTGGGGACCATTTAAGCTTGACGCACAAATGTTGCTCATGCGGCCCCAGCATGATGAAGTGATTTGATGATATATCTATACCCAAAATGGTCACGAGAGATGTCGGGTATTAGAGGGTTGAACAACTTTCTAATACTTTTGTACAGTCTGTTGATCGAGTGGCTATAGTGCTATAGACACGCCACGAGGCATGAGGGTTCGAATCTCTCAGGGGTCAAGAGTTTTCTGATGCATGTTGGCTTGGTGACTATTCAAGCTTGACGCATATATATATATATATATATATATATATATATATATATATATATATATATATATATATATATATATATATTTGTATAGGTTATATTCAATCTCTATTTGTAAAGGTTATATACAAGCTCTATTTGTATAGTTTAAGTTTGTTGTTAAGATATAGTTCTAGTCAACTTTGAAATATGTAACTAGATTTTGTAGCAATTAAAACGCTTGTCTCCTTTCACCAATGTCTTTTTAACCTGTTTACAAATTACCTCTGGAATATACCTGGGAGTGGGTAGGCCTGAGGCCAGGTTAGGCTGCATTGAGCTGCGTTGGATTAGATTGGTTTGATTTGGGTTACGTTAGGTTGGGTTGAGCTAGGTTAATCAGGTTTCAAAATTCAAAATTCCACTACGCCACGGAACAGTCTCCGTGGCGCAGTGGTAAAGCACGCGCCCGGCTCTTCGCCAGCGCTTTGACCTGCCGGCCAGGAAGGATTGACCGGGCGCCAATCCTTAACTGCTCACCCGACAGAGAATAGGTTGTTTGGCCCTTGTGTGCGATGAGACTTGTATCTGGAATAATTAAAATATTAACTTAAATAATTCGTTTGTTAGACAATATATGATATTCAGATCTATAAATTACTTTAGAAAGAAGTATAATGCATATAAATATTAATTTACACATTCCTGGCGGTATAAACTAGGAATTTCAATATGGCGTTCAAATAGTTTTAGGCAGGGAGTCTCTGTGTCGGTTTGTCGCTTGCGGCCATGGCGCCGCCAGTTGTCAGGCAGCAGCGGCGGCGTGAGCATCGTTGCTCCCGTGTAGGTAAGGCTGATCAATTTTTTTTTTTTTTTTTTTTTTTTGCTGTCTGAATAGTTGGGAGGTACGCATGAATATATAGTCTACCTCCACCTACAATGCTTAATGCATTATACATTTGTTCGCTATTATAACATTGAGTTTTTGTAATGGCTCCGAGGTTCATTTGTTTCCGTATTGTTTGTTTTTTTCATCCGGGTTCTGTAGTGTTCAAATGTTTGTATTCCACTAACGCTAAATAGTCTGTCCTCTCTCTCGGATATTGTGGAAGATTTTGAGGATCATGATTTGCCAATATTATATGGATAGGATATTATGTAGAATACACTTCCCCAGAGTGTTAATTTAAACCACCACGTCGTCAGGCTAGGCTCGTTAACGCGGTGGTCGACCCCCCCCCCCTCCACCCGCCCAAGACGCATTTATTATCGACTTTCATTTACGGTGTATTAAAAATAGTTTTTATCGTGTATAAATTAATTTTATATTTTATGTTTAATTAGGCGTATAGTAGGCTTAGTATTTAGGTTCTGTTGGCAATTATTTGCACTTGAGGATGTGGAGGGTGAAGCATTTACAGTTGCCTGTCCTCAGGCCAGGCTCGCCTACGGACTGCGTATTCAGAATTATTCTCGCGTATATGGTAATATTATTTCATAAAGTTCATGGCTTAAAAACTAAGTTTAGTGACAAGCGACAGTCCTGTGAACACTGCAACAGATGAACAACTTCTCAACGGGAAGGAGCGGAGACACCCTTCCAGGAACTGAATTTACCACTAACACTAGTGGCCTCGATGAGGACAGTAAGCCGGCGGCTTGTCAAAGGTTCCCCCCCCCCCATTTGCTTTGATTTTTTCCAGCTGTATTTTAAAACTCAGCAGAGTTTTGGCGTTTACGGCTACGGCGGGTAGGCGGTTCCACGGGTTTACAACTCTATGGGTGAAAAAGCATCTCCTGTTTCCTGTCCAGCATTCTGGCTTGTTGAGTTTGAACCCGTTGCTCCTTGTTCGTGTAACATCTGACCTTTTGAAGACATTGTCCTGATCGACATCCTCCAAATTGTTCTGTATTTTAAAGGTTTCTATGAAGTCCGCCCTGTCATGCCTGGTTTGTGGTGTTGTTATACGAGAGATGACTAAGCTCTATGATTTTTGTCGTAAGACATAGCTCCATTGCTCTGGTAAGACATGGCTCCAGAGCAGCTGTGTCTTTCTGAAGATTTCCATGGTCAGGCAGGTCTCCATGCCTGGATGCAATAATTCATGTGGAGGCGCACCAGAAACTTGTACAATTGAAGGTCTACTTTCTTTTCCTTGAAGGTAAAGGTACTCCGGTTACACAACTGGTTTGGCTCCGGTTACACAACTGGTTTGGCTCCGGTTACACAACTGGTTTGGCTCCGGTTACACAACTGGTTTGGCTCCGGTTACACAACTGGTTTGCCTCCGGTTACACAACTGGTTTGGCTCCGTTTACACGACTGGTGGGGCTTCAGTTACATAACTCCGGGGGTGTCACTTGGGTTTCGGGTTGTGCATAGTCGGGCTCCGGTTACTTAACTAGTCGGGCTCCGGGGGTGTCACTTAGCTTCGGGTTGTGCATAGTCGGGCTCCGGTTACATAACTAGTCGAGCTCCGGGGGTGTCACTTAGCTTCGGGTTGTGCATAGTCGGGCTCCGGTTACTTAACTAGTCGGGCTCCGGGGGTGTCACTTAGCTTCGGGTTGTGCATAGTCGGGCTCCGGTTACTTAACTAGTCGGGCTCCGGGGGTGTCACTTAGCTTCGGGTTGTGCATAGTCGGGCTTCGGTTCGTGCATGGTTGTGCTCCAGGGGTTGTGTGTCTTTGCCTCATGTTTCTTTGCTAGATCATCATGGTTGTTTCTTTGCTAGATCATCATGGTTGTTTCTTTGCTAGATCATCATGGTTGTTTCTTTGCTAGATCATCATGGTTGTTTCTTTGCTAGATCATCATGGTTGTTTCTTTGCTAGATCATCATGGTTGTTTCTTTGCTAGATCATCATGGTTGTTTCTTTGCTAGATCATCATGGTTGTTTCTTTGCTAGATCATCATGGTTGTTTCTTTGCTAGATCATCATGGTTGTTTCTTTGCTAGATCATCATGGTTGTTTCTTTGCTAGATCATCATGGTTGTTTCTTTGCTAGATCATCATGGTTGTTTCTTTGCTAGATCATCATGGTTGTTTCTTTGCTAGATCATCATGGTTGTTTCTTTGCTAGATCATCATGGTTGTTTCTTTGCTAGATCATCATGGTTGTTTCTTTGCTAGATCATCATGGTTGTTTCTTTGCTAGATCATCATGGTTGTTTCTTTGCTAGATCATCATGGTTGTTTCTTTGCTAGATCATCATGGTTGTTTCTTTGCTAGATCATCATGGTTGTTTCTTTGCTAGATCATCATGGTTGTTTCTTTGCTAGATCATCATGGTTGTTTCTTTGCTAGATCATCATGGTTGTTTCTTTGTTATGGCTGAGTGCATGTGTATTTTCAAGGGTTTCATTGTTGTATTTTTGCAAGAGTTCCAGCTTTCTTTTTTGTATAGGGCTCAATTGTTTGTTTGCTTTGGCTCCAAAGTTAGTTGTTAAAGGCAAAGGGGAGGGGGGGGGGCAGTTGTTAGGAAAAGCTAAAGAAGGGTTTGTTTGGTAGAGCTGGGAATGGAGTTTGGTTGGGCTCTGGGGCTGTTTGTTTAGCTTGGTGGGGGTTAGATGAGATGTATACTTGCTAGGCTTGCGGTTACACAACTGGTCGGGGTCCGGTTACACAACTGATCAGGCTTCCGTTACACAACTGGTCGGGCTCCGGTTAAATAACTGGTCGGGCTCCGGTTACATAACTGGTCGGGCTCCGGTTGCTTAACTGGTCGGGCTCCGGGGGTGTTACTTAGCTTCGGGTTGTGCATAGTCGGGCTTTGGTTCGTGCATGGTTGTGCTCCAGGGGTTGTGTCTTTGCCTCATGTTTCTTTGCTAGATCATGGTTGTTTCTTTGCTAGATCATCATGGTTGTTCCTTTGCTAGATCATCATGGTTGTTTCTTTGCTAGATCATCATGATTGTTTCTTTGCTAGATCATCATGGTTGTTTCTTTGCTAGATCATCATGGTTGTTTCTTTGCTAGATCATCATGGTTGTTTCTTTGCTAGATCATCATGGTTGTTTCTTTGCTAGATCATCATGGTTGTTTCTTTGCTAGATCATCATGGTTGTTTCTTTGCTAGATCATCATGGTTGTTTCTTTGCTGGATCATCACGGTTGTTTCTTTGCTAGATCATCATGGTTGCTAGATATGGTTATGATATGGTATGACATCATGGTATGCCATGGTTGCTAGGTATGGTTATGATATGGTATGACATCATGGTTGGTTGCTTAACTGGTCGGGCTCCGGTTAAATAACTGGTCGGGCTCCGGTTTCATAACTGGTCGGGCTCCGGTTGCTTAACTGGTCGGGCTCCGGGGGTGTCACTTAGCTTCCGGTTGTGCATAGTCGGGCTTCGGTTCGTGCATGGTTGTGGTCCAGGGGTTGTGTGTCATTGCCTCATGTTTCTTTGCTAGATCATCATGGTTGTTTCTTTGCTAGATCATCATTGTTGTTTCTTTGCTAGATCATCATGGTTGTTTCTTTGCTAGATCATCATGGTTGTTTCTTTGTTATGGCTGGATGCATGTGTATTTTCAAGGGTTTCATTGTTGTATTTTTGCAAGAGTTCCAAGTTTCTTTTCTGTATAGGGCTCAATTGTTTGTTTGCTTTGGCTCCAAAGTTAGTTGTTAAAGGCAAAGGGGGGGGGGGCAGTTGTTAGGAAAAGCTAAAGAAGGGTTTGTTTGGTAGAGCTGGGAATGGAGTTTGGTTGGGCTCTGGGGCTGTTTGTTTAGCTTGGTGGGGGTTAGATGAGATGTATACTAGCTAGGCTTGCGGTTACACAACTGGTCGGGGTCCGGTTACACGACTGATTGGGCTTCCGTTACACAACTGGTCGGGCTCCGGTTAAATAACTGGTCGGGCTCCGGTTACATAACTGGTCGGGCTCCGGTTGCTTAACTGGTCGGGCTCCGGGGGTGTCACTTAGCTTCCGGTTGTGCATAGTCGGGCTTCGGTTCGTGCATGGTTGTGCTCCAGGGGTTGTCTCTTTGCCTCATGTTTCTTTGCTAGATCATCATGGTTGTTTCTTTGTTAGATCATCATGGTTGTTTCTTTGCTAGATCATCATGGTTGTTTCTTTGCTAGATCATCATGGTTGTTTCTTTGCTATGGCTGAGTGCATGTGCATTTTCAAAGGTTTCATTGTTGTATTTTTGCAAGAGTTCCAAGTTTCTTTTTTTTTTGTATAGGGCTCAAGTGTTTGCTTTGGCTCCAAAGTTAGTTGTTAAGGGCAAGGGGGGGGGGTCAGTTGTTGGGTAGAGCTAAAGAAGGGTTTGTTTGGTAGAGTTGGGAACGAAGTTTGGTTGGGCTTTGGGGCTGTTTGTTTAGCTTGGTGGGGGTTAGATGAGATGTATACTTGCTATGCTTGCGGTTATACAACTGGTCGGGCCTCGGGGTGCACAATAAACTACCACTCCTTGGTTGAATAGGGAATGCTTAATGAACTATTCACCTCTGGCGGCAAAAAATTAGTGAAGTGTACAACTACGGTCTAGTTGCAAACATGCAATAATCCAATGGATTATTCCAGTTGTATTGTTTGCATAATCTTGAGTCTATTCGTTCTGTAATAAGAGACGAAACCCTCGCTGATAGATATTAATAATGAGACGTGCCCGCACCCACAGATGGTGTCCCCGTCGCTCCCTCTACTCCATGCACCCACACTGCAGATAGTATACCTAGGTCATAAAAGTATTTGTGTGTACGTCTGATACCATACTACTTGTGTTAAAGAGAAATGTATATGTTTATCTCTCAGAATGTTTGGTAATATGTTAGCAGTCTCCGTGGTGTAGTGGTAAGACACTCGCCTGGCGTTCCGCGAGCGCTATGTCATGGGTTCGTATCCTGGCCGGGGAGGATTTACTGGGCGCAATTCCTTAACTGTAGCCTCTGTTTAACTCAACAGTAAAATGTGTACTTGGATGAAAAAACGATTCTTCGCGGCAGGGGATCGTATTCCAGGGACCATAGGATTAAGGACTTGCCCGAAACGCTACGCGTACTAGTGGCTGTACAAAAATGTAACAACTCTTGTATATATCTCAAAAAAAAAAATGTATATAATAACAATAATAATAATAATGTTTATTCAGGTAAAGGTAAATACATTCAAAAAGTTAAAAGCAGAATATTGGACTTGTAGATAAAGCTAGTACATACTATGCCTGAAGCCACTAATACGCACAGCGTTTTGGGCATCTATATACAATGATTTTAGTGAAGATATTTTGATATGATTTTGCAATATGAAAGATTTTAAGACAAACTTATTTAATTCGTTCAATTGTATAAGGATAAATCGCCTCGCATATCTTGTATTATAATATAATACTCATGTGCCATCTTATTATTCACAATTTTAACTTATTAAATTTCTATTGGGCATTTTTTTATCTTGGAAGACGAGAACCGAAGCGAACACACTCCAGCGCATATATGTAGTTTTATTTGCGGTTTTGTCTACACCTCGTGTATACGAAAAGGTTCCTGAATATAAACCTGTTTGTGAACGAACTGGAATTTTATGTACTGAACCGACACCCTCGAAAATATACGAGGGTTATACACTATTATATAATATAATTATATTATATAATCGGTTATATACGATTCGACCAGTGCCCGGTTGGCTGGAGGTTTGTGGCGTGTGGAGAGCTTCAGGCATGTGATTGATCAGCCATTATGATTATTGCCATCGCAGATTATTGCCATATTGCCATCGCCACGCAGTCTCCGTGGCGTAGTGGTAAGACACTCGCCTGGCGTTCCGCGAGCGCTATGTCATGGGTTCGTATCCTGGCCGGGGAGGATTTACTGGGCACAATTCCTTAACTGTAGCCTCTGTTTAACGCAACAGTAAAATGTGTACTTGGATGAAAAAACGATTCTTCGCGGCAGGGGATCGTATTCCAGGGACCATAGGATTAAGGACTTGCCCGAAACGATACGCGTACTAGTGGCTGTACAAGAATGTAACAACTCTTGTATATATCTCAAAAAAAAAAAAAAAAAAAAAAAAAAAAAAAAAAAAAAAAAAAAAAAAAAAAAAAAAAAAAAAAAAAAAAATTATATATTATTACTCGTATTAACTTGTTAGCAAATTCTATCGTCTCATTTTGGTTATATTGTTGCCTTAGAAGACGAGAACAGCAAGGGACACAAGCCTGTATATAATTATCTGTAATAGTGTCTGTAATAGCCAGATTGGGCTACTTATAGCCCAATTGGGCTACTTGTAGCCCAAATGAAAAGTTATGCTATGTATGTTTCGCTAGTTAAATACTTATTTTCGGGTACTGTTAAAAGCTGACCTGTGTAATCTGAAAATGCAATCAATCATTAACAAAAATATTTTCTCTAGCTTTATAATCTAATTCGTGATTTTTATTTTTTCAGCTTGTGACTTCTAGCAACCCGAACTCTGGCATCAGAGTGACATAAGATTAGTGTGTCTGTGTGGCGTCCCTGGTGGCTGGTGGTGTCCCAGCCTGAGGCAGTGTTGTAGGGCGGTGTGTGGTGCAGGTGTGTGGTGCAGGAGGGAAGATGAGCGAGGGCTCATCACCACAGCAGGTGACGGTGGCGGCCGTGGTCACAGCTCGGGTCCACCTGCAGGACACACTCCGCCAGGCTCGTCTCCGTGCCCAGGGTACAGTGTGTGTGGGTTTACCTTATTCCTCTTAACAGGGTGTTTACCACCCTCTTACCCATCCTGTGGTAGTGGTATTATGTGCTGCATGCCCGTCAGTGCTGCGAGGGCAGGGACTGGGGTCCAGACACACACTTCAAGGTGTTACACCACCAAACAACATATTCACTCATCAACATCTACCACCTACGGGCTACTCATGCCCGTGTACCACCTCTTGTGTTGGCTTAATTTTCATCAATCAATCATTCAACCAACCTGTTAGGGGTCTTGTACACCCTGTACTAGTTGTGTGGGTGTTATGCACCCCATACTCGTCGTAAAGCGGTCCCCGTGGCACAGTGGTAAGACGTGCTCTGTACTTCGCGAGTGCTTTGGCCTGGGTTCGTATCCTGGCTGGGGAGGATTGATCGGGTGCTGGTCCTCAAGTGTAGCCACTGTTCACCGGTGCAGCAGTTTACCTGGTTATTAAACGATTTGGCTGGTCGTATTCCGGGGAATATTAGGATCAAGGGCCAGCCTGAAACGCTATGCATTCTAGCAGCTTTACAAGAATTGTATATATATAAAAAAAAGTATATTTTATACACCATATACCCATGATGTGTGTAGTAGTGGAGACGGTTACAAAGGTAACTAGCTTGATGAGCTTGTTAAGTTTAACATGTACGTCAATAGCTTATTTACTGCTGTGGTTAGCTTAGTTTAGCTGATTATGAATAACCTGTGATTTGTAATACTAAATGATTACTATTAGTGGTGGTGTGAAGGTTATAATAATAATAATAAAAAATGTTTATCAGGTAAAAGTACATACATTCAAAATGAGTTACAAACAGAATGTTGGATTTCTAGATAGAGCTAGTTCATAGTGTCTAAAAGCCACTAATATGCACAGTGCTTCAGCAAGTGATGCCAGCAGGAGTTGATGAGTGAATTGTTGTTCTAAACTTCACTGCTGCGGTATTTTGATAGATACAGCCAAGGGCCACCATCTCTAGCAGGTGCAACAGACAGTAAGTTGGTGGCTTGTCAAAGTTACCACATTATTCCTGAAAATGGTTTCTATTGTATTTATTTTAATTAAAGATGCAATACCTTCATAAAATAACCTATCGATTTGACCTTTTATATACCTCTAACAGTTTCCATTGGTGCTCACAGAATAGGTGTATGGGTTGCATTATCACTCCAGGATAGGTATGGGGTGCATATTCAATGAGGTAAACTTGCATCTGGCAAAAAATAATAAATAAAAATAGCCCAAAAGCGCTTGGTTGTAATGAAAATGTTTGATTATGATGGTAACTTTTTTTTTATGCGAAGAGTTCTTACATTCTTGTAAAGCCACCAACACCCATAGCATTTTGGGCAGGTCTTTGATCCTAATTTTCACTGGAATACGACCCGCCAAATCGTTTAACAACCAGGTTCACTGCTGGGTGATCAGAGGCGTACAGATAAGGATTGATGCCTAGTCAATCCTCCCTGGCCAGGATACGAACCCAGGCCAAATCGCTCAGGAAGTGAGAGACGAGTGTGTTTTTACTATCCCACAGGGTTCTGTGAACTGTGTTTTGTGTTGTACTACTGGTCACTAATTTCTGTGTACATTACCACAATTAAAAGACCTGGCTAACCTTGCCTAGTGAGTTGGGTTAAAACAGGACCCCAAGAATAGATGTGCTATATCATTACTCTTTAACAAAAATCTAACCTGTTGAAAATAACAAATGTCTTTATGTATAATATGCTGTGTGCAAGGTGTGTGAAATCATGATTACATATACTGATAGCATTTGAGAATCTCTTTGGATGCTACTGAACCTTGCAGTATAAAACATAAGGGACAAACTGACAGCTCAAAACACCAATAATATAAGTTGCATACATACATGCTTTTCCAAATTTTGGGGACTGTATACATTCTTTTCTAATACTGCATGTAATACTGTAGTACATCACTCCATCACCTTATTTCCATGTTGACCAGACCACACACTAGAAGGTGAAGGGACGACGACGTTTCGGTCCATCCTGGAACATTCTCAAGTCGATTGTCACAATCGACTTGAGAATGGTCCAGGATGGACCGAAACGTCGTCGTCCCTTCACCTTCTAGTGTGTGGTCTGGTCAAAATACTTAAGCCACCTTATTGTGACTCAGCGCCTGCACCTTGTTTCCATATTGTGAAGTGCTTCATTGGCCTGTATTTATTATATTCACAATAGTTAGGAAGATACTTCAGGTTGTGATGCCAGTGCCGCTGTTCAGACTGGCCTTCCATGTCTCCACTCACTGCAGCACCAACTGTGCTAATAACCTATAAAATTAAAAATACCTGTATATTACCCATAATTGAAGTTGCTGTGAACTTGTATGTGATGAGTTGTCATGGCAGTGTTGTTGCCATCATATACCTGTATATGCTTTTGGCATTCTGTGTAGTGTGTGTGTTACTAATATAAGCACAGGCAGATGAGGCAGAGTTCTTATTTAGTGAATTTATTGTTTATAAAGTATACATGATATTCACTCAAGTTACAAAGAACTTGAGTGAAAATTTATCATGTGCAAAATGTGCTGCAGCTGCAAACGAACATTGGCAGCTGATGATGTTGTGAGTCTGATATTCAGATCTTATTTTGTGTTAACACAGAAATCAGTCATAAACAGGTCTTATTTTAATTTGAACCTTGGTTTACATATTTGCCTAGTTATTTGTGTTGTATAACCTTCCATTCCTCAAATTTTGAAACGTGTTAAAGGCTGCATGTTGTGCCCATCAAACATTGGCAATAGTTATAATACAGTGGAATGGTATCAGGACAAGTTGCTCCATTTTCAACTTCTTAACCTAAACTGGCTGAGGTAACAAATGCTGAGATGGTACAGAGAATATTTTTTTTTTGTAATTTGCATTGTTTTAATGATAAAAAAGTTAGTCATGCATATAAAAAAAACTTTTTCTGTACACAGTGGTTTGGTAGAGTTCATATTGCAGCCCATCCTCCTGTTTTGGTAATACTTCCAGTAACGATGAAGACCATAGTATATGTACTGACGTACAACGAATTTGGAGAGTAGAAATCTGAACTACTGTTATCGAGTTGGACAAACCGGGAAAACTTTTTTTTTTACTTGCTTTGACAAAACTAACCTAGCCTAACCTTCCTAGGCCTAATACACATTATATGAGGCCTAATATAGTACATACTGTATGTGTGCTATATTAGGCCTCAGAATGTTTAAGCTTGTATTTTAGTTTCATTTATTTTAAAAGAATTCCTTACTAGTCAGTATACAACTATCTAAAAGCTAAGTACGTACGAATTTGTGACGATTGACAACCGTTGCAATGGGTACTATCTAAACAGGAGGATGGGTTGGCATGTTGGCAACCATAGTAGATGATCTATCCAGTAATTTTAAAAACTTTGTTTGAATAGTGCAATGTCACTTCAACTGACTGGGATGTATTTTGTTTTTAATGCACAACAGTTGTACATACTGTAGCCTTAATTGTTAATAAACATAACATTTAGCTTGTAAATTAATAATTTGTCTTTATTATTTTAGTGTGGGTATTTTCTGTTAACTATATTCTGGGAACATTGTCTGGTGGTTACCTTGTGTAGCTTCTGGGGATCAACTGCCCCACGGCCCGGTCTCTGACCAGGCATCCCGGTTCATTGTCTGGTCAACCAGGCTGTTGGACGCGGCTTCTCACAGCCTGATGTATGAATCACAGCCCGGTTGATCAGATATTCTTTGGAGGTGTTTGTCGAGTTCTCTCTTGAACACTGTGAGAGGCCCACCAGTTATGCTTCTTAATGTAGCAGGAGAGTCTTGAAAAGTCTTAGGCCCTTTATGTTAGAGTTCTCCCTCAGCATACCTATTGCACCTAATGATGGTGCTGTAAAGTAGTATTGAACAATTTTATTGTAATTATTTATGACTTAAGCTATGGCTGTATTTTTAGGTAACTACCCCAGTTGGTCACTGCAACCAAAAATATTACTTTTCTTCCTTAGAAGTAATGAAAAGTCATAAGAAAAAGAGATAAACAGTAAAACAAATTACCCTCGCCCTATTGTAGATCTGGCACAGTCTCAAAACATTAATCAAAAGCTAATTTTACTACCAGCACCAGACTGTTAATATTTATATGAACACTCATAGCATTCATTGAGGGTCTCGGTAGTACAGTTGGGTTCATTCTCGACTCACAATCAGGAATCGCGAACAGGATAATAATAGTTGGGCACGTTTCCCATCATCAGTAATTGGTTATGCTATACAGTACTGTACAGTAAACATTATATCTTTAGCATTACTAATGATTAAGCTAATCTAATAGCTTAATAGCTTTTAGATTATTCATGTCTTTTAGATTAATCATAGATTTTAAGCTAATTATAGCTTAAAATATATATAGTCATACAGTGGTACCTCGGAATACGAGTGTCCCTGCATACGAGTTTTTCGGAATATGAGCAGGATTTGCTCGGAAAATTTACATCGGAAGACAAGGGTGTTGATACGTGTACAGGCCGACCTAGCGCGTGGTGACACGACGATCGCCCCTCAGTTTACCAGTGCCTCTCGCCCAGTGACTATCCACCTGAATTCTTCACCAGGATTTACAGTGTTTTGTTGGATTTTTGGCCATTTGACCATAAATGTTGTTGTATATCTCGCCATGGGTCCCAAGAAAGCCAGTGGTAAGGTTCAACCTAAGTAAATAGTTGTGAGTAGAGGCAGTAGAGGATGTCCCTTCTTCATTAAGAAAATGTGTGAAGTATGGGACGAACTGCAAAGTTTTGTTGAAAAAATTCACCTAGATAAAGTTACAGCAGGCCATTGCATTGACCTTTTAAATGACAATGTGATGTCTTACTACAGACAAGTGTTAAAATGTGGGGGAAAAAAAGTGTCTTTAGACAGATTCTTAGTAAGACAAGCAAGCAGTGAGCCACAAGCAGGTCCTAGTGGTATGCAGGCAAAACATGCCAGAGTGCACACCAGTGAAGTCCTCACTGCCTTAGGTTATAATGGAAGGGGACTCCCCTTCCAAACAGTAACACCTCTCCTCCTCCTCACCATCTTCCATACACCAACAGCAGTCATCAGCAAGGGTAAGTAATAAGTTGAACATACTTTTGTAGTGTAGATTTAGATGAATTGGGTATAAAATTTAGTTTGAAGTGAGGTTTTTGGGTAGTCAGGAACAGATTAATTCATTTCCCATTATTTCTTGTGGGGAAATTAGTTGCGGTTTATAAGTTTTCTGATTACGAGCTGTCTCCAGGAACGGATTAAACAATTAAACTGAGGTACCCCTATATATATATATTTATATACTGTATATTCATATACAGTACTGTAATGCTTATCCTATTCTGGAAGATAGTATATAGTTTGGGTCAAAATATTTGATTCAGTAAATAAGGAAGTTTTAACGTATGTATTGTGACAAAGAAAATTACGACATGAATATAAAGACTGTAATCTGAAACCTGTTTAAAAAGTGATGAATTTATTTGTTTGAGAAGAGAATAAGAAACGATTCAACACGGTACAGTATTTCTAAGTTTTTCTTTTACCTCTAGGAACAGCAAAAAAGAAACTTAAGCATGAATAAGTTGAAGGCTTAATATTTTACATCAAATGAGTAATGATTAATTAGTACAAAAAAATTGTATATTAGCAAAACGTCTAGAGGTAACAAACACATTTTTATGCACAGCATTTTTGCTCTATCTTATAAAGAGGAACACAAGGGGTAGTGTGTGAATAAGTTGAAGGTTTTCCTCTCCCCACCCACCTTTCAGTGGTGGAAATGACTTGCCTGCTACTGTATGCGTGTTGAATGTTAATATTGCAGTTTATTAATATATATAAATTTTCATGACTCGTTTCAATATCCTTTTCTCATTTTCTTTTTCTTTCAGATAGTGACAACAATGCCAGTCTTTAGGCTCTTTGTGGAGTAGTGTATCTTGAAAAATCTCTCCCAAACTCTACCAGTACTAATGTTACGAGCTGTTGCAGTTGGTATCCCCATTGGTCTTACCTTTGTGGATTGCTTTGGCTATGTTGCAAAGGTTGAAGGTATATCCATGCAGCCAGCTTTAAATCCGGACAGTAATGGCAATAATGATTTTGTCTTCCTGAGTCGCTGGAGTTCTAGATCTTTTCGTTACAACCGTGGTGACATGGTATCTCTGATATCCCCCAAAGATCCTAGCCAGAAAATCATTAAGCGCATAATTGCCCTTGAGGGCGATTTAATTCGCACTATTGGATACAAAAGTAGATACATACGTATTCCAGAGGGCCATTGCTGGGTGGAGGGAGATCATACAGGCCATTCATTAGATTCAAACTTCTTTGGACCAGTAGCTATAGGACTCGTAACGGCTAGAGCATCTCAGATCGTCTGGCCTCCAAATCGGTGGCAACAGTTGAAAAGTGAATTGCCGAGTGACAGAATACCTCTCAATTTGCGTGGTGTATCTGGCAGGAGAGTTGATTCTAGTGAAGCAACTGACAAGTTAGATACAGAAGAGTGAAATATTAATGTGCTTTAATTTTATATCTAGTGAGTACAGTATTATCATTGGAAAATGAGGGTTGCTTCTTTTGTAAATCATTTGGAATTTGAATTTGAGGGGAACATAAATAAGAATGCAATATGCCTTGGTGATGTTGATAATGATGGACAAAATGAATTAATTGTTGGGAATGAAAGTGGCAGTCTTGCCATCTTTAAAGGAGAAAACCCACAGCCAGTACGCGTGGGAACAGAACTTGGAATGGTGTCGGCTATTTCAGTTGGTGATGTATTCAATACTGGTCTTAATGTGTTGGTGGTCGTCACTGGATGTGGATATTGCTATATATATGATTTTGAGGATGATCATCTTGGAGACACATCAGAGAAGAAATTACTGCAGCCTGTTCATGCTCAACGTATCCCTGCCAATGCCAAAGTCATGTTAATTGGTGATGTTAATGGAGATGGCTTTTCAGAGATGGTTCTTGCTCTCACTGATCGGGTTGTCCGTACATACCGATGGATAAATTCTGGTGATATTGTTGGGGGCAAGCCTTATGGGAAATTGATTGGGCTTAACAAATGGGAGTTAGGAGATCAAATTGGAAGCATCTCTTTCAATAAGTGTAAAGATGGAACTCCCTCACTTCTGGTTGCTCAGCCTGGTGGCACTTACTTCACTCTGAAAGTACGTGTTAGCCAAGATAGTGAGCTTGATCCATTTGATGAACAGTCATCAGAATTGCTCACTAAAATGTCACTTGACTATGAACCACTTGCATCGGCCAGACTCAGGAATCCTAACATTCATACAGAGATCTGTGGCAATATTAAATTGGGTAAAAAGAGACCTAGTTCTTACAAAATTGAAAGTGAAATTAATGGTAATTCAAAAGGGAAAACCATACACCCAAATACTGATAGATTTGAAGAAAGTCTCTGTGAAATTTCAAAGTCAGATTCTAGCAAATTGAAGTCAAGTTCCAATGTAGATGAACTGCCATATAAAATTTTTGATAATATAATGCCATCTATTAGATCACGCATTGATTCGGATGAAGATGATACTGGCTTGGCCACTTCTTTTGCTTTGGCTACTTTGGATGGTACTCTGATGCTGGTGCATGATGGTAAAATTAAGTGGAACTTGCAAGTTGATCATCAACTTTTTGCTGTTTGTGGATTGGATGTTACAGAAGATGGCAAGGATGAAGTTGTGGCATGTGCGTGGGATGGAAACACCTATATAGTCTGCCAGAACACCGATTGTGTTCGTTTTACTTTTCATGAGCCTGTCAATGCATTCACAGCGGGCTTATATGGACTTAGAGGAAAGCAGGTATGTACTAATTTGTTAATTTTCAATATAAAAATTAAATAATGCATATAAATGATTTGCTATACAGAGCTACATGTCTCCAAGTAACCAAATGTCAATCCTAAGTATTGTGCTGTTTATTCTTACATAGCTGATGTATTTGCATTATTTAATTGTACAGTAACACTCCTTTGTTAATGTTGTATTGCCATTACTGTATAAATTTGGGTATGTATACATCTTTCTCAAATTCCTTGCTTGTTGCTTAAATTCTTTCCCCTTGTATAGATATACAGTATATAAAGCCATGTTAATTTTTTAATGATATTTCTTGGGTGTAATTATTAACTCGCCCAGTCTCCAAGCCTTAAAATGTGACCCATAAAAAGGTCCTTAATGATTTCTTAATTCTTGTACAATAATTTGAGAGAACTACAGTACTGTATTACCAAAATAAATACTGAACCGTAATGAGATGGTTTGCTTTCACTTATGTGCTCTGCATGCACTTCATTAAATTGTACACCCATATTCCATGTCAATTTAATTAAAGTTTCACTCCCCATAATCACACCTGCAAGGAATTAATATATGTACAGTGCAACCTTAATTTAACAAACTATGTAAGACCATCCACAATTCCTTGCAGTGTGGGATTCGTTGCAACTGGAGATGCCTCCACGATGCATTTTCCATGCCCTATGGGCTGATTTCACTCTGCAAAATTTTACTTTCAACCTATAATAGACATCTACCAAATGAACATGCCTGCAAAATTTATTTTAATCACATATAGCTTATTTCTCAAGTTTTCACCCTGAAAACTCATTCTCAAAAGAGAGCAGGGACATACCTGAGTGAACGAAAACCTTGCCCATTCAAAATGAAAAGAAACCATAGAATTTGGTTTTAAATATCCTCAGTAGTTTTCCCAAGGCTCCAACTATTTCTCATAATGTTTAGTCCCTCTACAAAAATCAAGAAATGTGATTGGAGCCATATTAATTTAAGAGAATTAACATTGTTTCCCCACGTCCTAGCCTTGAAATCTAATTTTCAAAGAAAAAAAAAGACCCATATTAGTGAATGAAAATTGGGGAAATCACAAAATTGAAATGAACTATTGAATTTGGTTTTAATTGTACTTGATGACTTTCCCCAAGCCCCATTACTATTTCTTGTAATGTTGCGTCCATCTGCGAAAATAATTAAAATTGCAATTGGAGGCAGATTGAGAGGCATAGATAAGGAGGCATATAATAACCGTTCGTCCAAAAAAAAAAAATCCAAAACATCCTACCAGAGATTCACTGAATAGAGGTTCCACTAGATTTCTCTAGTACTCGTCACTCCTGCTTGGCCCAACTATCTTGTCACACCTCGTTTGCTCTAGTTCTCTTATCACATTACCTACCCCTACCCCCCAGCTCTCATGATCCCTGCTTCTTTTGGCTGTCTTGTCACATATGCTTGCTCTTGTTGTCTCATCATACCTGATGGCCCTAATGTTCTCATCATACACCTGCTTGTCCTAGTTCTTGCATCACACCTGCTTTACCATAATTAGAATTTAGATAGTCTAAAGTGCAGAGAGACTTCCCACACTGTAAGAGCACTTTGTTGTTAAGTGAATTTGATAATGTAAAATTCAGTACAGTACAGTATATACAATATATGTATGGGTCTTGTTGGAATTTTCATCATTTTTAACCATAACCATATACAGTACTGTAATTCACTTTCAATTTTTATCATTAGGCTATTGTATAAAAGTGGAGCATTTCATTCCTGTATAATTATTACTGTATTCTTTTCTCTTATAGGTTCCTTGTTTGGTGTATGCTACCTTCAACAACCACATCTACCTTTATCATGACATCACAATGTCCCATGTTGTCACCAAAACTATGGTAGAAGTCTTAAAAGAGGAGCCGAAATATAAACAGATGTTGGATGAACTTGGAATTAGTGCTAATGATGCTGGCAAGCTCACAGAACTAAACCATTTTCTTTTGTATGGAAAGCTGGAGTTATAATAATAATCATTATTATGGATTCGAGATAATTTTACCATGTGTCGTGGACGTTATTTTTTGAAAGATGAAAGCCTTGATGGAACCTTGTGCTAATATTGTAACAATATTGAATAGGGTACATATGAAGAAGCAATTTGAATAATAGTACAAAAGGTTGCATCTTTTATTATTTATCTCAAGAATGAAATGTATTATTTTACCTGCAGTATTTGTAAAAGCAATGAATATGCATACCAACCTAAAAAAAAAAATTAGTTCATAACATTTTAAGTACAGTATAGATTTTCTTTTATGCTTTTTTTTTCTATGTAAACATTAACAATGGTGCCCGTAAATGCATAAGTAATATACAGTACCTTGCAGACGGTCCATGGCTGATGTACTGGGTGACCAGGAGTTTTCCCTTTCATGTTTTATGGTTTGTTAATTTTCTAATTTGCCCATAATTAACATTTTTAAGTGGAAATTTATCATGTAAATAAACATTATATTAATCATGGTTTTCTAATTGCAAGTCCTGACATGTACTACCTTCAGTTTGCTTAGGAATGACATCAGCCTTTGTCATAAATTATGTACTTTGACTGAAAGGGCAAATTAATACTTGTCAATACTGTATTCAGATTCCTATTTGGTAACATTAACTGGTATCCAGTTATCCTTTTGACCTAATTTTTATTTTTAATTTATTCTTTGTCTAAATTGGAGAGGAATGTTTATGTATATAAACATTCCATTGATGTTCTAGCTGACAAACCAAATGCTTCTGACACACAATATGAATATAGAACTGATTACTCTGACACTACTGTATATGTATGGAGTTTCTTGGTGGCAGAAATTATTCAGTACTATACTCTGTGAGTATAAGAAATGGATGTAGTAGTAGGCATCCATCAGTCTCGGGAGACTATGGAATTGCGCTTCTGGTTGTCGGTCTGGAGTGGCCTCTCTGGGGTGCAAAGCCAGGGTAGGTTGATACGGGAGAAGCTGTTACCCATGCAGCAGGTCTTCCCTCTCCACGGCGCCGAAAGTCTCTAATGGAAAGGCAAACGCCAATACAATTGGTTCCAGTGCCGTCGCAGGAAGTGTGAGCTCCGGAGTTGACCTCGAAGTTGGTGAAAAAAGGCACAGGGACTCTACAATCCTTTGTTGTGTGGAAGATTGCGTGGCAATATAAGAAATATTGCCAGAACAAACGTGGACATCTTCAAGATAAAATTCGATCGTTTTCTCCAAGAAGTGCCGGACCAACTGAGCTGTGGTGGATATGTGGACCTGCAGGCTGCTCCAAGCAACAGCCTGATGGACCAAGCTCACAAGTCAAGCCTACCCTGGGCCGGGCTTGGGGAGTAGAACTATTCCCAAAACCCGATCCAGCAGGTACTGCAATTCACAGGATAACTCGTCAGTTTGCTGATGCTTCCATAGCATTTAACAAAGTTGAATGCACTAAACATCTTAGAGAACTGTTAAGGAGGAAAACATTTACTACAATTGCATGTTTTTAGGAAAAGTACTCAAATACAGTACTTTTATATTTATCAAATAAGCATAGTACATTAGCTGTGAAATGGAGTAATGTCCTCTCTGAAAATTTCATAAAATATCTAGTTAAACAAGGTGTCTTTATTTTTATATTTTGCTATCGATCTATTCTGAGAGAGCTAAGAGCCAGTATAGGTGATTATTACATAGGAGGTATTAAGAAAAATAATGTTCTTTGGTTATGCTGATTATCTAGCTCTATTATCGTCACCTAAAAATACCATGGAAAAATGTATATACAGTATATATATATATATATTTCACATATGCAGTATAAAGAAATACGTGAAACATAAAGTGCTAAATACAAACTTTGATTCACAATCCTGGGAAATGTGCTGTACAGTACCTCGGTTACTATTAGCTTATTGGAATTCTTGTATCCAGGTCTTAAACTAAAAGTGCTAGCAGAGAGTTAAGTCAAATACTGTATATATCTTGAAAAGCACTTGGTCGTTACCTGGTCGGGCTCGACTGTGCTGCATAAATATTGGGTACACACAAATGTGTATACACCCACACATCAATACACTGTAAATGTGCTGTATGAATAATCATTACTTGAAGTTGAAGTTACATGTTCCTCTGTTCCTTACCAACAGAGCTGGGCAGCCACTTTATTGATCAAGGTATAGGCGTACTGTGCCAAGGAATTGGAATTTATAGTGAGCTCTTCAAAAGGTATGTTATATTCTTTTATAGTGGGACGAGTAAAGATATGTGGGGTGAATGTGTCTTCACATTCAATTCTTTTTAATGTTTAGGTTCATGTCTGTAGGCCTTCCACAGTTTATGTTGCTGCTCCTGTGCTGTTTCATTGTTTGTTCTTTGCTTCGTCACATTTTCTCTTTGCTGCACCGCTCGTCCTTCATTTTTTCATTCTTTGCCGCATCACTCGTCCTTCATTTCTTCATTCTTTGCTTCATTACTGTCTCTTCCTTCGTTGTTTGATTACTTTCTCTTCTTTACTGTCTCTTCATTCTTTGTTTGATTACTGTCACTTCATTCTTTGCTTCATCATTCTCTTCATTCTTCAACCCATCCTCCGATCAAGTCCATTCCATCCAGCGGTTGACCCCAAAGATGCATTCGTCAATTTTAACATGCTATTCATTCAAAATATAAATTTTCTCAAATATAACTGAATATTATTATATATTAGCACATTGAGCATATTTAGCCACTGGTTAGGTGTTAAGGTTTCGTTGGCAATTAATTATATTCGTAGTACGTGGGTGAATCGTTTACAGCGTTGTGGTTCGAACAAAGGTAGTCAGCGAAGCACTTGTTCCGGCAGTGTTTGGACGTCATCAGTTGTGAGTCGTGTGTAAATCATTTTTCATTCATAAATGGGGTTTGGCGGGTGCATAGAATGGACTTTGGCCTTTATGAGGACAGGCTGCATCTTTTGCTTCTTCATTCTCTTCATTCTTTGTTCATCACTGTTTCTTCCTTCATTTTAAATTCTGCAATACAGTATATAATTTTGAAGTTGTAGATGAAGGTGGCTCATCATCATTGTCATTATCAGTAGTAGTCAATGAGTACATTCCACTTGTTGACTGCTCATACAGTGTGAGTAATTTCTAAAACACTAAACAAAAAAGTAGGCAATGCCTTTTCTAGAATTCACCCTAATCTAGCATTTCAAGCTAGAAAGTTGTCTAGTTTTTTGCCAGCAGCCAATTGTTATATAGACAAGGATTCTGTTGTCGTGGGTTCATCCAGAGTTGCTTTTAAGGATTGTATTGGCTTTTAAACATTCTATTTCTGAGAAGCTCCTTTTGAATTTGAGGGAATAATTTCCATGTGAGGAATGAGCTTGTGTCACAGCCCATTTCTTACCACATCTCAGGCAGTTTTTTTTTTTAAGTTGAAACTTCTACTGCATGAAAACTGTAAGATGAGTTTTCAGTCTTTCTAGCAAGTCTGTCACCATCCAGATTGTGCTGTTCACTGAGATAACCATGTGTAGAAGACTTCTTTCACCATAGCAGAGCCAAGTCTCCTCTACAAACTCTAGGTTTTGTCTCTTGAGTTACTTTCATTTGAATCTAAACTTTGGTAAATGGGAGAATACTTTGTTCAGATGAGTTTTGAGCTTGTTTGAAACCTTATTTCTTAGCAGGGAGTTCTGACAATTCTGCACCCACCTTCCTGCTGTGGATCCTTAAACTTGCATGTTATTGCTTGAAACAAGTACAGCATGTGAAGGTAACAGGTAGTCTGAAGGGTTAGGCAAGTTGGTGGTGTTGAGAATATGTTGGCTGAGATTTTTCATTGGGCAATTTTAAGTATCATTGGTATACATGTACAGTACATGGCAGAAATTGTGTGTGTATGGCTTCAAGTTAGTGGAATTGAATTTCTTCTTCTGGATAAATACTCATCAGTATCTCCCTAACATTTTTATACTATTGTAAGAGTGCAGTAGTTCATGTGGCACCAATGCCATGTATTCCTGCCTAGTAGAAGGCTATTGTTTTTGTTATGTACAATATCTAGGAGTAACACAATACTTTGCTTGGAAGTAAGGTTTTAACATAGTCCATTTTGTATGGACCAATACTATTTACAATACTGAACTCTTGCAGGAGTGGGCTGCAGGACAGAAAAGCCTTAGAACTGGCCATTAGTAAGAGCCCAAATGATGTAAAAGCTGCTGCACTGGAGTTGCTCGAGGTTGAGGTAATTATCAGCCGGAAATAAATTGCATACAGTAGTTCTTCTTCATACATTGTTGTATGAAGTATGTATGTATGAAGTATTGTATGTTGTCTACATCATATGATGTAGTTATCAGTACAGGTACCTAAAATATTATGCTCACATATTTGATTTCAAATCTAGAGAGAAATGAAGCATCCCAAGGGTGATATACTGTAATGTCTTTCACTGTTGTTAAAACAAATGGTGTGTGTGTGTGTTGTAGGTTATGTCTTTCCAGTTTATTATTATGCATGATTCCAGTATCATATGAAGCAGATGAAATAAACATAGTTTAATAATTATTCAAAATTAAAAGTGAAAATCATTACAATGAAGTTGTACTGCAAATAAAACCCAAATACTGTACAAACATACACAGCCTGTAATACGTCACAATTTTGATTCTGTGCAGTGTAGCCCAGTAATGCACGAAGACTGATATTAAAATGCATTTAAAAATGTAATTATTCCCTTTTATCCGGCCCATTCTCCTAAAATGAAAGTACATACTGTACTTGTAGTAATTATTTGGTGGAAAGTACCAATATGCGGTGATGGACAAATAGAAAGTTGACTTGCATTATTGAATTTAGGCAAATGGGAAACTTTTTAATACCAACATAAATATAAAATCTAACCTAACCTCTTCTAGCAATCCTAGGTCTAATACATGCCATCTTAGACCTAATATAGAACATATATAATAATTTAACAATTCATTGTGTCGGGGGACAGACAGCCAGTGTATACAGTGGTACTTTCATTTACGAATTTAATCCGTTCCAAGAGACGGTCCGTAAACTGAAATTAATTTTCCTGTAAGAAATAATGTAAATTGAATTAATCCGTTACACCCAAAAATATTAACTTAAAAATACATTTTATACAGAATACTACTCGTATGTTGTACTACAGTATATCTTGCCTTTATTGAGGACTCTTGTTGGCATATGGAAGATGGTGAGGAGGTGGGGGAGGAGGAGAGGTGTTAGTGTTTGGAAAGGGAGTTTCCTACCATTATAACCTCAGGCAATGATGACATTTCTGGGGGTACTCTCTCTCCTACATTTTGCAAGCATACCACTAAGCTCACTGTTGTGGTATGGTTGTGGCTCACTACTTGTTTGTTTTACTAAGAACCTGTCTATAGACACTTTGTTTTTCTCTACCATTTAACACTTGTGTGTAGTAAGGCATCACAGTGTCATTAGAAAGGTTAATGCAACGGCCTACTGCAGTTTTATCTGGGCGAGTCGTTTCAGCAAAATTTTGCAGTTCTTCCCATACTGCACACATTTTCTTAATGAAGGGACAACCTTTACTGTCTCTGCTCAACTATTTTCTTAGGTTGAACTTTACCACTGACTTCCTTGGGACCCATGGCATGATATATTATATAAGAAGAACTTTTATGTTCAAAAACCAAAAAAAGCAGAAAAACAATGAAATTCTTCACAAAGAATTCAAGCCAGGTTGTCACTTGGCGGGAGACACTGGTAAAGTGAGGTGTGTCTCACCCGCACCCAAAAGAACCATGCACTAGTAGTCGTGTATTGACAAACTTGAAAACTGAGGTAAAACTCGAATACCGAGTCAAAATTTACAAAGAAATTGAGCTCGTATACCGAAATATCTGTAAAGAGAGACATTCATCAACTGAGGTTACACTGTATTTACTACATGTTAGGCTTATATTGAGGGTCCCCCCCCCCCTCCAGGTCGCATTAATGCCTCTACCCAGGGTGCATTCCCTCAAGAAGCTGACTAACTCCTGGATACCTATTTACTGCTAGATTAGGAAACACAGCCAACCATTTCTGTCCCAACTGGGGTTCGAACTCAGAATTCCCAATTGTCAGTTGAAAATACAGTATTGTACAGTACTAAAAATATTTACATTTATTTTTAGCTTAATTTTTTCTGGACTTGATAAAATTAAAAGTACAAAAACGGCTTGTTTACTGGTGGTTCATCACTACATACTGATACTTTCCACCAAATACTCTAGTTACTATAAGTACTGTATTATCATTTCAGGAGGATGTTTATAAACAATGAAAAATGGCAAAAGCTTTGAATAACAGAATTTTGATTTGATGGAACAGATTCAGTTTAAATTAGCCCATTAAAATGAAGTTCCACTGTAATATACCATATTCCTACATCCACGTGTTGCATTTTGTGTACAGTTCTTAAAACTTGACGCTTTGACCATGGTTGGCCTATAAGTAGTGCATATGCTTTATTGATGTGATCATACTGTATAAAACTACAAGTTGTATGAGCATCCTGAGAACGTACAACAAATTGGTACTGTATCTACAACATTAAGAGATCACATTAAAAGATGTCGGTGATTATTCCAGTAAGCTGTATCTTTAAGGTTGGTCGAGTATTATGATATTCGATAATGCTTTGCCATTATTAATTAATCACTTTTAGTGTGTCATATAAAATTAGCATGACTTGTATAACTGTCATCATGCAATATGTCAATAGAATTTTCTCCTCAATGTATTAGGATGACTGGAATGAATTCCTAAGCGTTGTTGAAGCCAGTGATGTTAGCAGAAAGGAGAGTTCCATACCTGAGATTGGTGACAAGATACCTAGTACCGTCAGCCTTTATCGAGTATGTGATGGAGTGTCAGCCCAGGACACCAGTGTTGGCACACCTGCAGCAATCACTTTAGCAGAGCTTTTAGAATCCTCAACACAAAGTGCCACTCTGTTAGTTCTTAACAGACACTTTGCTTGACTTCCGTGACGCATCCATATCACCCAGCTGGCAGAGAGAGAGGTGAGAGCGAATTTCCCAATACTTCCCACATTCTTCTATATCTCTCACATGAATTTATCATCATCTTGTAGCTTCTTCACACAGTCTTCAGATATTTTAATACACCTCCATCTCATTACAGGTATTTCATATTGCACGTTCGTCTTACATAATGAAGCACATACACTAACAAATACATATTGTATCTCTACCCTTCACATAATCCTCCAGTCTTTGATAAGAGCAAAGCTACCCCCTCCATCTTTTTTATCATTTTAATTTTCATATTTTCATCCATCCCATAACATACAACTTACTCTCCCCCCAGTTCCTCAAACTATCTTACTGCACTGAATTTTCACCATTTACCCTTTCCATTAAGATATGTTTTGGTCACACCTAACGTATCTGTCCCTCCATTTATATTATTTACTTTCAGTTCTCCTTTGACCAACTCGTTTACATTATATACAGTACAATCAATTCTTTATCCATTCCCTTCAAAATAACCTCCACTGCAGTTTTGTCTGGTTCCCCCCCTCCCAAACAGGGGTTGTGACAGCTATGGCAGCCTGTGGGTTACTAAGAGCAACAACCTTACTGATCAAGTTATCACTAAAAAAATGCCTATCCCTGGCTGGTTTGCACGAGTTGAAGAACTCTTGAAATTGGTCACAGGTAATTGTTTGTAACTCATTATAGTTCACAGGCTATAATGGAGGAGAACTTCCAGAACCAACTCCATGTGTACTCCTTATACTCGGTATACTTATTATATTCTCTGTACTCGTTATCTTTCAAGCTCATTATAATTCCTGAAATTATACTCACTATTTTCATATTAGTTCTTGAACTGATTATAGTGTTCTTCCTGAAACAAGAACATTTTCTGAACCAGGCAGCACAGTAATTATCAGGAAAAAGCTCTAATCTTTACAACTGTATGGCTTGGAAGGGATGTGAGAATAAGGATTTGGGATAGATCGGAGGGAAGGAATGGTGCCCAACCAATTGGACGGTTGGGGCTTGAATGCCAACCAGGAGTCATCTCTCATATTCTATAATCACCTATTCATGCTTTTCAAATTTTTGTGTTAAAAATAAAATTATATAGGTGTGAATTTGTTTTCTTTGCATTCACACAAATTAAAGGCTGCTTGTACTCACCTAGTTGTGCTTGTGGGAGTTGAGCTTTGGCTCTTTGGACCCACTCTCAACTGTCAATCAATTGGTGTACAAGATTCCTGAGCCTATTGGGCTCTATCATATTTGCATTTGAAACTGTGTATGGAGTCTGCCTGTGTATTCTATTTGTTAACTATCCTGGCACTGAAAAAAATTATTTCTAATGTCTTTGTGGCTCATTTGGGTATTCAGTTTCCACCTGTGTTCCCTTGTTCGTGTTCCACCCATGCTAAATAGTTTGTCTATGGCCACCCTGTCAATTCTGAGAATTTTGTAGGTGGTGACCTTTTGTAGTTAGGTCTCCCCTAACTATTGTCTTCCAGGGATGTGAGGTTTAGTTCCCATAGCCTTTCCTCACTCATTCCACTCTGTTCTGGGACAAGTCTGGTGGCATACTTATGAATCTTCACTGACTTTGTCTTGTATTTAACTAGGTATGAACTCTAGGCTTGAGCTGCATACTCCAGGATTGGTCTGACATATATGATATACAGGGTTCTGAATGATTCCTTACACAAGTTTCTAAAGGCAGTTCTTGCTTTGGCTAATCTAGCATATGACGCTAAATTTTTGTATTATATGTGCGATGATGGTGTTGAAATAACTAATGCAGCTACTTGTATGAAAGAAATAATGTTCTTTCTGCTTATGGTCACTTGCTATTGATTGATTATAATTAAAATTCAGTAATTTAAATCATATTGTACAAAAAATCACTAGATTTACATAATTCTGAAATTTGCAGAATGAGCTTGCTGCTGCAGGGTGTGAGGTGGTGGTTGTAACGTTCGGAAGTCTGTCTGGTGCTCAGCGGTGGCTGAGTGAAACAAAGTGCCCATTTCCTTACTACAGTGAGCCAACTTCCTCCATCTACCAACTACTTGGCCTCAAAAGGTTGTAATAATACAACTGTCATTGAATATTTTTATAAATATTTTCTTCCAGTGTCATATTGAATGATTGTCATATTTGCTCTGGATTATTAATGTTTTTTATATTCACGTATCATAGCTATTATCCTGGCATAATGTGTTTTGACAGGTTTAATAAATAATAATTTGAAGGTTGTAGATTTCATACAGAGGTGTAATCGTGTATGAATATTAAATTGATTTTTAGTTGCATTTTTAATGTGTAATTCATATTATATTTTGAGCAAACATGATTACCCTTTGGTGACCTATATTTAAATAACTTTATTTTGTTTTTTTAGTTCTCGCTTAAATTGAAATGTTTACACACTACTGTACAGTATATTGTTGTTATTGTCTATAACTTGTGCTTTATAACAGCCAAAAGACTAGTGCTTATTGCTCAGATGTTTTAGCTTTTTATTGTACTGTATTTGTCACTTCATTGAAGGTGTGAGTATGCTTTGTATGGTGCTCTTACAGCCTTATTTTTCATGTTTTGCCATTTCAAGTTGAGCTGTTTAAACATAACTATACTCTAGAAATATATATACCATTAACAAACATTTAATTAAATAATCAGTGCTGTGCAAATCAAGTTGTACTGATGTTTTGCCCAGCAAAATATATGAATTTGGTAAATTTTTATTTTTATAACTTTCACATTTGACAGGTCAGTTGGATCAGTATGGAATACAGCGACACTCAGCTATTATGGTGCTCAGGTGGCCAAGGGTATATCTCTTCCTCAAGCTTATACAGACATCAAGGATGATCCCCATCAGATGGGAGGAGATTTTCTACTGAATAAACATTCCCAAGTTCAGTTTATTTATCGGAGCAAGGTGCCAAGTGATAGACCATCTGTGGATTTAATTCTTTCGGCTCTTAGGGATATAAATTAAAGGTACAGTATTAACTATAGTGATACGTTTTCTTTGTAATATAATATACAGCAGCTAATTTAAAAAAAAAATACCTATACTGTATGGAAATTGTAATACAGTAATAGGATTTGTCAGGGGACTTTAAATTCATTGACTTGCACATTAGAGGTGAACCACACATTCAAGCTTCATATACAGTACTCTGATACTAAAATTAAGAGCTCTGACTAATTCAATTAATGAGCCTTTTTTTCCAGTTAGAATAAAAAGATTTGCAGCTAACACATTCAGATATTAACCAGATGTCTTGAATGTACAGTAATGAATCAATTTCCATCAGTCCTTTTAAATCAAATATTTGTAGTAGCCACAACAGATAATGTGCCAGATAAATGACCAAACTTGAAAAAAATTACTTTTTTTTTTCATAATTTTGCATAGCTATTTTCATGGCTAAGCATCTGGCATAGATAGTACAGGCAAATGGCAAAACCTTTACAGTAGTAAAACATTAAAAATTTGGCACAGACTTTTTTAAAGAGATTTTTAATTTGAAGCATAAAAAATAATATACCTTGTCAAACTTCGAGGAACCCTTTGGCCTGTTATCAGAACAAATGGTAATTAAGTAATTATTATTCATAATTACTATTCTACTAGGTAATTATGTTCATATCTAATAAGCAGTGCTATGAAGGTCTATGCTGAAAACTTAGGTGGCATTTACTGGATGATTTCACTTTAAATTGCTTTTATAGATATAAACTTAATCCTTAGCTTTTAATCAAATGTAGTTTGTATATATGGTATAACACAATTGCAGGCATTATCAATTTTAATTTGATACATTGTATTAGATATAATATTTTATGTACAGTACTTTTTATAGTAGTTTCAAAACATGTACTGTACAGTGTAAACCCAGTTGTGGGAAAAATAGGTTGCATTCCACTGTTAAAAATATTCTACTGTACAGTACTTAAAATTAAATATTTGCATTTTCTTTGCAATTATATTTCATTGCATACGTCATACAGTGCCTCCTAGTAATATTGATTTCCTGATTTCCTGATTTCATCATGATCAGTACCATAAAAAGGTTGTATACCAAAGCTATACTGGATGAAGTTTTTTTTTTTAAATTGACAAAATATTTTATCAGTCATGTTTGTTGATAAATTGGGTAAAAGCATGGAGTTCATAGTTGAAAATCTTAATGGTTGCAGTAGACGAAATGGAAGACGTCATAAGCTTTGAAGGATTTATTGATGAGATACAGCACATGGGGATTTTCCAACCAGCTAATGATGATGTTGACTGGCTGGAAAAAGATTCTAATGACCCAGAATATTGTGTACTGAGTAAATATGAAGTTCTCTGGTCCATAATGTGAGAGGTGAACAGCTAGTGCTGTTCACCTAGCAATAAATAGGTACATGGTAGTTAGACAGTTGCTACGGGCTGCTTCCGGGGGGTGTGTAACAAAAAGGAGGCCTGGTCGAGTACTGGGCTGTAGGGGACGCCAAGTCCCGAAATCATTAAGATAAGGTAATTAATAAAGATAAATATTTATTCATACTTATATTTCATACAAGTATTTACAGTGGATATCTTCAAAACAAATTATGATACTTTATACAAATGTACTTTTATGAAAACACTTTTGCACCAGATGTATCTTGCTTCCCTAATCTTAATCAGATTTTTGTTCAAGGCTTTTTTGGATAAGGGTTAAAGTTAAGATATTTAACTATATCTTCTAACTAGCTGTTACTCAAGTATACAGCTTATGAAATTATTATTCTTGTGCTTTGAAGACATTTTTTTTAATAAGTTTATATTACAAATAATTATTACAATTTAAACTGATCATAAATCCAATTACATTTATAAAAATATAAAAAGTTATGCCTGAATCAACACACACACACACAGCAACAACAAACTGAATGAACACAAGTATGACCTTCAAACTGGATGCACAAGTGAAAATGGAAATATTTACATCACTGATAGAAGTTAGAAACATGACAGACACAGAAATCTGAGCAATAAAACATTAATTAAAAAAATGTTCAGTTATAACTGACAGACATATCAGTATATGAAATATTGAAACTGGGCTTTAGTAAATCTGGATCAAAACTGGCTATAGGTTGCAATGGCACAATCTTGCCTGGCGCAAGAGAGAGAGAGAGAGATAATGAATGAAGGGGATATCAGATCTAAAATAGTTCATAACATGCACATGAGGGGAAAATATTTGGAATGTAACCACAAGTTCTTGGTAGAGAGCTGAGGCAGCAGTTCATCACAGCAACCCACACTTTCATCACCACCCAAGGATCCACAGATCAAGGCTGAAGGTTAAATGGCTGTAATTGGTTGAAAAAATTACCCATCCCCCAAGTGGTGATTACAACTGGAGTTTGTAAAGGAGCTACTGCATCGGACGAGAGGTTGATCTTTGGTGTTTTAAGGATGTTCAGCATCAAGGTGTCTTCAATACCTAGTAGGGAAACGGGAAGCTTACAAGTCCTCTATGGTATATTACCAACAAGAATTAACTAAAAGGATACACATTCAAATTGTACAACTTGCTTTGTATGCGACTTCAGTAAGGACAGAGTAATTAGAATACAAAACCAAAGAATTGTGAAACTTGAGTGTTTAGAGAGAAAATTAGTTTTTGACAATATAAAAATAAAAACCCATTCTAACATTTGTTAAAAAAATTTAAGTAAACATTTTCAGGTCAATATGCAATTAAATAAAATCATCTATTAGCCAATAAAAACGATAATATATTTGAAATCTACATACAATTTAATTACATTTTCCAGTATTAACAAGTTTCATTAGTTCAGTAGATTCTAGGTAAATATATTCTGTAATCCAATTTCCACAACCTTGCTTGAAAGACCTATCATAGATAGGTTTACAAGACATTCATCAATTTTACTCACCTTTCCTTCTTTTCTTCTCTGGAACTTTGTCTAATAACAGCTGGTTTGGCACTTGATGGCGAGTCTCTCTCGAATATGGCTGCCATGTCCCTAATTCGTCTTTGCTGACCAGAGTTTCCTCTTGCAGCTGCATTTCCTGTACCAGTTAGGGCACTTGCATCACTACTGCTCTCTTCAATATTGCTTATTTTCTTAGGAGCACTTGCAGGAGAGGGAAGAGTTGTTTTTGGAATGCCAGGGGAAGGTGCAGATTTTGAAGGTCCAGGTGATGATGGGACTACTTTAGGAATGCCGGGCGATGATGGAGAAGCTTTAGGAATAGAAGTTTTTCTTACTGGTGACAAGGGTATAGGAGTAGAGCTTTTTCTAGTTGTCGTCATTTCCATTCCTGATTTTTGTTCTTGTTTAATGGTTATTTTTTCAATTTTAGGTTCTCTTTCTGATTTATCCAAAGTAGGAGATTTCTCTCGATTCTTAGTCCATATTGCCACCCTCTCTTTAACATTAATATCATCTTCAATATCATCTTTTCCAGCTTTGCGACGCCCACTACCCCTAGTGCTAGCTGATCTATGAAAACTTGGAGTTCCAGAGGGAGATTTTATGGGACTAATTGGGGCAGAGTTCTTTCTTAATGGACTAGATTTAGAGTCGCCACTGTTAGAACGGCGCAGTAATATTTCTTTGTCTGGAGATCTCCTCAGACACGAACGTGGGCTCGTCACCTCGACTGATTTACTACAGCCACCACTGCTGCTACCAGTACTACTACATTTTTGAAAAGTAGGAGTAGAGCTTCCTGACGAGAAGCGAGTCCTTGTTGGACTCTTCAGCTCCCCAACTCTTCCCATATCACTTAGACTCCTTCTAGCAGGAGAGGTTCTCTTGAATACTGAATCACTGCCCTGTTCCCCTTTGTCTGATTCAACTTGCGAGTCCATGTTAAGTTTTTCCATGGTAACCATACCTCCAATCTGTTTAACTGGACTGACTTTTCCTGAATATCCCTCTTGAAGTTGTTTTGATGGGCTATTTTCTCTCCCCCTTTGACTAACACATTTAGTATCTGAACTCTGAATAATCTCATCATCATTTTCACCACTGTCATCTTCTGGTCTAGATGGACTTGTCGCCTTCTGTTTGAGTCTCATGATCATTTCATCTTTTTCTCCACGGAAACTCTCAGATTTGTACTTCTCTCTTAAAAATGATCGTCTTTCTTTTTTATACTGCTCAATTCTCTCTCTCTTCTGTGGGTCCATGAGGTTAACATTACCAAGAATATTGGCAATATCAATTGCTGTGGTATCCTCAGCCTCCTTTGCTGCACTTTCTTGAGTAACAATGCTTAGTTTAGCATCTTTGGAAATTGACCCAAAATCTGGAGAACTTTTAAATCTTTGGAAAGTAGGAAATTGTGAGGACAGTATGGGCTTACTTTCCGTTAGCTTCTGGGAATCTAGGTACTCAGGATCAGGTGGAAGTTCTGATTCAGATCCTCCACCTTCTGTATATTCAACCTGAGACTTTATATCACCTAAATTATGGTGAATCTTGGATTCAAATGAAGGACTTGATTCAGTTTGACAATGAATATTGAAGGGCAATTGACTAGGCTTAAAAATTTGTGGAGAGGAATTTTCTTCTGTCGGTGTTACCTGGGCAGATCCACTACTGGGAGTTCCTGGTGTGGCAGGGGAATCTGGAGAGATAGATACAGATGATGGTGTAGAGACCGGTGAAATTAAGGGTGATGATAAATTTAATTTAGGCAACTGGCGTGGTCGTGGAACAGGTGCAACAATAGGGGCATGACGAGGAGTGGTCCTGGGCCAAGGTGCAGGACTGATGATGCTTGGGAGTGGTAAAGCTCTGTTTGGAGTAGAAGTTGCAGCTGGAGGTACTGGGATGTTTTCTAGAGTTGGTGGAGAGAGACTTGGCAAGATAGGAGGTAAGGTACAAGTAGATGAACAGTGATCCGTTTCTTGTATAGGTTTAGGAGAACTTGCATCATCACTACTTACTGGAGATGTAACATCATCTGTAGTAGACTCTGTTGGTGAAGCAAAAGATGGAAGAACTAACACCTCCGTTGCCATGCTTACTGATGAGGGAGTAATGGGCGAATCCAAGCATTCACTGTCCTCACTAGGCTGAGTATAAACTTCAGCATCTGCAGCAGATGCCTCAGAGTCTGGTATAAATTCTTGGGAACAAGGCAAGGATTCATGAGGATGGGAAACACTGATGTTGCCCATTTGAGGCACCTGAACTGGAAGCTCTGAAGAATTATCAGATAAACTTAATGTGTGTGCAGTTGTACTCGACTCATTATCATTCGCAGTAACACCACCTAACTGTTCTAATGCATGCTGCTTTTCCTCATTTACCTTAAGCATGTCATTCACTTCTTGTATAGATTTCCTAAGAAACTTTACTTGTTGGTACACCATTTCCCCTTCAATCTCAACTTCAGTTTTATTATCACATTCTGCATTTTCAGAAGCTGCAGACACCTGGGAGCTAAACTCTATGTTTTCATAATTTGGCTGATTTCTGAATGAATATTCTTCATAAGCATCATCTGTATCAGGCACAATCTGGTCTTGTTCATCACTACATTCCTCTAAATTTTCATACACTGGTAGAGATTCCTTGGCAGGTGATTCAACATTTTCATACACACTTTCTACTATTATACCTTCATGAGCCTCTGCTATTTCAACATTTTCATAACAAACATCACCTTCAGAAGCACTAATGATTTTATATTTTTCATTGGATTGTTCTCCTATACTAGTTTCATTTTGGCTCTCATTTTCTATTTCATATTGGGTTAAATACTCCGGTCCATATTCTACATTTTCATACTCGGCACCATATTGAACATTCTCATACACAGAGTTATAATTATAGTTTTCATACCCTAGATCAGCACATGTAAGCTCTGACTCCATTAATAAAGTTTGTCCACTTGCTTCAGAAGTCTGAAAACTAGTTTGGGAAGACTGAACACTTGGGGAAGAAGAGTGTGGTACAGGCTCATCATAAGGAGAATCTTCTACCTTTAGAGGATATCCTGAGTTACATGTGTCTACGTTTTCATACATTGGACCTTCTTCAGTCGGGTCATCACTGCTACTCAAATCTATTGATAATGGGCTAGATTGACGAGGCTCCTCAACAGCAGGTGTATATGGCACTGGCTGTCCGACACCTACTAAATCCTGAACAAACTGGGATTCGCTGGGTGTAGAAGGTTCAGTTGTGTCACTAAGTGGGTGATACTGAATCTCTAAAAATGTAGAGTCCCCTTGAGGAGTCTCTGGTGAGGTTAGTGCAGAACCCAGATTAAGCAACTCTGCTGTAGGAAGCCCCAACAAGGAACTGGGACGAGGCTTTGGAAGTTCTTGTGGTATGAAGTCGTCTTGCACTGGCATTACTGCAGTAACTGGTGTATTTGGAGTAACAGGATCACATTCTTGTATCTCAGAACTTAAAGCAACTATGGCAACTGAGGGTGCAATAGGAGTTAATAAAGTAGAGGATGGAGCAAAACTGCTAACAATGTCTGCAAAAATTTCTCTTCCATTTCCCACTGTTCCCATACCACTGCTACTGCTTCCTAATGTAAAACTCTCATTATCTGATACAGTGGCTTCTGCAAGAGAGGTACTACTCACTTCTGATACACTTACCGAGGGAGACGTTCTTAGATGTGTAATTTTATCTAATAGTTCTGGATCTATGAGGGTGTAGTCCATACTAATTCGTGATGGAGTATCATCACATTCTTGACTTTCTGCCTCTACATGCACTTCAGCTGTTACTGTTTCTCTACTTTTTTCATGCTCTGGTAATAATCTAGCCCCACTTAAGAAGCTGGAGATTTCTGGTTTAAAAGAATGGGTATCTAATTTTAAAGTCTGACCATCTTTATCTTTAGGCTCTGTCTCTGTTGTGCGAACATGCTTAAATTTTGGAGAACTAGAAGGAGAAGTTGGTCTTGGTGAAGTTTCTGTCCGGCGACGAGAGGTTTCAGGGCTGAGAGCATGGACAATCTTATCCTTGAGAGATGCTGATGCCCTTTTTAAACTATTGTTGCGCGAATCCTCACTAGAGTCACTTACACTCTGGTCATGTTTTCGTTGGGTGGGTGGAGAAGTGAACCTGTGTTTAAATTTTTCCTTTAGACTCTTTTTCTCTGGCCTGGGGCTTAAATTTTCTTTGCTTCTGCCACTCTCTGAGCACATACTTAAGTTTTCCATATCTAAAGTTGAGCTGGACATATTATCTGGATCCTCAATTGATGTTGATTTCAGAGTATCTGCCTCAAAGACTTTGAAGTCTTTTTCACTGGTACTAAAGTTCAAATCAAGTTCACTATCCAAGTATATTCTTGAATTATCTGGCGAGAAATCAATATCACTTTCACCTTCCTCTTTGACCGGCACTTGTGAAGGTAAATTGTCTGACCGACTTTCAAGTGTATTGAAGTATGAATCATGAGAAACGGAGCGATTATGTGTGCGTGGAGAAGGAATGGGACTGGACAGTGAGCTGCTTCTGCTTTCCCGCTCATCCTGTGGAGATCTTTCGTACTTCTCCCAGATTAATGCCTCCCGCTTTTCTGGAGATTCTAGTGCCTGTAAAATGAAAAACTAAGAGTATATAGACAAAAATATACACTACATTACATTATCAAAGTTCATTTTAAGTATAATTGTACTGCAAATGATGAGTTCTAGACCTTTTTTCTTCAAATTTTTTTCACCAATTGAGACAATATTGTTAATAACCTTCAAAATGTCTTGACAACAGCATTTACAATAATGAATAATAAACCAAATACTTATTTATATATCACATTAGTGTGATTTCTTTGAGAAAATCAATTGGAGCAATGAGGTGACTTGAACCAGCGATTAAGATGCTCCTCCCAGCCACACACCTTGTACAGAGGTATACAGGTGTACATGGGTAAGGTGCATGGCTGGCAGTACCAATACCTAACCCTGATTGCTGGTTCCAGTCGCCTCAATGCTCCAATTGATCTTATCAAACCAAATACTGCACTGGTAACAACACACTAGATAAATAAAATTATAAACAATAAAATAAAATGAGAATCAGTGATGTGTTTAAAACATCAATTTGATTGGAAAGGTTGATGTGGTTTGCTACTGAAGAGCATTTCTTTAATTAATGATGTGAATCATGAATTGTGATTCTCTTATCTCCTTAAGACATCATTGTAAGAGATTAAGAAGCTGGAAACCATAAGCACCACTGAGTAGTATTTCTGTAATATATAGTTACAAAGGTAAACCCATAGCAATCAGCAAGAAAACAATATTTAAGAGATATCCCAGAATACAGGCCTACCTACTTTCTCACATCCAGGACATTTTCTTTAACTCAAGATTTTATATGAAATGACTTAAGAACTTGTTCCAATAAATAATTAAGGGGAGACAGTTTTATAACCATTTTCAGAATATTTGTGGTACTTCTACCGACTTGACTTTGACCTCTACTAAGTACTGTAATAAAAAAATCACATGATCATATAATCTGACAAAATATAGCTTGCAGGAAAATAATGCATCTTTAGAATTCATATTTTTTTTCTAATAAAATCGAGATTTGAAGGGATCGGTTATAGGAAGGCATGATTTTGAAGATGTACTCTGCAATAATCACAAAATATCTATACAAGTTTAATGTTTACACAAAACTAGCCACAATGATAAATTATCAAAATAATAGAGAACAATTTACCAAATCTAGTCATCTACCTTAGATGGCTGCTTTTGAAGCTTCATTTGTAGCCAAATTTATACAAAGTTACAATTCTGACTATACAGATGTAGTCAGTAAAAAAAATTAAGACAACTTGAAAAAACATACAACTTTCTCAATGCAAGTACAGTATTTGATTTGCAGACCTTCTTCCACCATACAACCCACCTTATTTATCATTCATCACATTCTGTATTTTCCTGTACCCTTCTGACTGGAATCATATGCCCACTTCACTTGGTAAACTAATGCCTCTACAATTTGCACACTTGATAAGTTCTCCTTTATCTTTATAGTAGTACAATCACTGCTCCTCTAGCATATTACCACTATTCCATACCTACTGAAATTGCCACACATAATTAATCCAAAATGCTTTATTTTTACATACTGTTAGCACTTGGCTCCCTCTCACTGCATAAATTTCAAGATACCTGTACATCTACAGTCACTTATTCATAGAAAAATTACTAACCATTAAGCTATCAGGAACTATTCCCAATTTACCTTTTAGATCATTTATCAGCTATTCTATAACACCTGACTGTCATACCGCTCTTCTTCTCTAGGCTATCCCAAATAATTTTGTATACCGTTACTTGACATCACAGTATGTATATACAATAACAATCACCACCTTTATTCTTTCAAACTTAAACATCTTTATTCATTAACAAGCCAACTTATTTCTTACTTAATTTCCTCATTTTCTTTCATCTGTACACTTGTAATATTTACTCCATTCCACTTTTACTTATTTTCTTTCATCTTTGTCTCCCATAAACCTAGCACATCAAACTTTCTTGACCTTCTTTAAAAAAACATTTGCCACTTTTAAATTTTGTTCCGAGTCATTCCTTCCACAGACCTGTCTTTGCTTTTTTTGGGCCTGGTCAGGTACTGGCCCTAAATTCAAGGCTATTTATACCTTTTGTGGGAAGAATACTGGGAAGATGGGTTCCCAGCCAATCCCCCTATCCCCTAATACGCAGGGGATGAGAAGTTAATTGCACTTCACTGTGGTGGGTGGTGGGGTTGCCACATTCTTACACTATGTAAAATTAAAACAAAATATTTATATTATAACACTTGCTCTAAATAATGAGCATAACGAGCGGCAAACTACAAATTGTATATGCAAACACTAATCATGTACTGTTATCACATCTACTGTACTCTGCAAATACACACACCAATCATATATTATTTGATGCCAAATTGCTAACTTGCCCACAAATAAAGTTGTTCACTACCTTTTAAATAAAAATAAAAAGGCATAAACACATACAAATAATTCATCAGTCAACAGACAACACTGTAATCAGGATAAACAAAATATACCAACCTGTGAGTTTCTGTTTGAGTGCAGGGAGGCAGAGGTTGAGATAAGGGATTCAACTGACTTGACAGGTCGGAGTCGCTTGGAAGAAGAAGGGGCATTGTCTGTCTCGGTCGCCACCGAGTCCTGTAGTGGCAACACAAGGTTAATAGGAAGGGAAAGGGAAGGAAAAGGACTGAATGCAATATTCAGCTCATCTAGTGCCATAAGGTGGTCAAGCAACAGGGAAAAAGAGTCCAATCAATAAAGAATATACAGTACAGTATTGTACTGTATAGACAACTACTGTGCATTAAATTTGAATACCTTTAATCAGAGAGGAGCTTTTGAGGGATTATTTACAAAACTTTCATGTAAAAGTTTGATACCAAAGACACATTTAGTGTTTTGGAAAGGTGAGAGGCCTAGTGTTTTCAATGCTGACCACCAGGACGTGCATACATGCCAAGCAAGGGAATGAGTGGGATGAAGAGTGTTTGAACCAGTAATATTATTGTCTGCAACACATGCAGTATGTATCACCTCCAATATGTCCATATTAATCATGAAAATTAATGGCCATCCCTTCAATATGCCAGCTCAAATGGGAATTTGTTGATCCAGGCTTTTATTAGTAGCACAGTGAAGATGTATTGTGTAAGGTTGACAATTCAAAAGTAACTTGAAATTAATAACGTTGGAAATGGCATCTCTAAGCTTTTGTGTTGCCAGCTTAATGAAGAAGTAGAGAACTTCAGCCCATAGCTAACCCATTCATTAAAAAAATTAACTATTATAGTACTGTAAAGTCTATTTATGCAGAAATGAAACATTGAGATTATTGTGCAAGCTCATTTATCCATAATTAATGCATTTTACCCTGCTTCCAGTAAAGTAAATATGCAGTTAATTGAAGAGGGAAATGTAGGCATCCCTCCACACCAACACTTGTAATCATGTAACTTCTCCCAGGTTGACAAACATTTTGTTTTCCCTCATAATTCATTATTATTTAGTCAAGAGAAATGGTATAAAAATTATATAATGCAAACTTTGATATTTGTATTTGCTGGCATCTTATAGATGCCAGCAAATATAAGACTATACACCATCATAAGCTGGTGTATTGGAATAATTGCTACCATTCCAATAGAGACCAACACTCTTACTTCCATTCTTTAGACCCAATATTAGTTTTAAATATAATTATTTAAAAACAACACCACATCCACAAGGTATGTCCATCTGTGGAGAGGGACATATAAAGTATGTGGTAGGTGCACAAAATGCAGCTTACCGAGATATTTAGGTGAATATCACTTGGTGTAGAAGCTTTTCTTGGGTGTTTGTGTACGCTACGCCCCTTACTGAATATACTCTTCCACCCTGAAGGAGACTTCTTCTGCTTGAGACTTCCACCTTTTCGACTAGGCAGTTCAATTACTGTGTGGTATTTTGGGGGTAGATTTTGTGGTCCTCCACCTGTGGGTGGCAAATTAGAGAGATGAACACACAAAACATAAAAAATACAGGTACAGTAACAGATGATATCTTAATAATATTACAAATGTATTAGTATCTAAACTTCTTTTTGTCAATTTCAAAGGAAAATTTAAGAAATATTAATAAAAAGTGAATCATAAGAGACTTCGTAAGTGTTAATACTTAAAACACTTGTCTATCCCTACGCTGAATGCCCAACAGTAAACCTACTCTAGTGATACACACAGGAGTAGGGATATATCCATGGTGTCCTGTCATTTTTAATTACTTCATTAATAAACTTATCATAATTATAAAATAACAGTCCCTAACATAGTATTCACAAATGCACTGTTCACACATACAGAGCTTTCTGCCATACAGAGTGAGTGCCATATTTTGTTACTTTGCCTCACATGCACAAGTCACTTTGTCATTGCATTATTCACATAATATTTGCCCTGAAACTTGGTGCCACTTTAAATTTCTTAATGTTCAAGTTCTGTTTTATTTGCTTTTGAAGCTGTGGATGGACATGGCTTTCCCAACTTCTTGCAGCACATTCCACTCATAATAACCCACACTGTGTACAAGTTTGTGTTTATGTCTTGTTTCCGTTTATATCTTCCATTCGTCCTCTTATTTTCATTCACAGTCTCCGTGGTGTAGTGGTAACAGTCTCCGTGGTGTAGTGGTAAGACACTCGCCTGGCGTTCCGCGAGCGCTATGTCATGGGTTCGTATCCTGGCCGGGGAGGAGTTACTGGGCGCAAATCCTTAACTGTAGCCTCTGTTTAACGCAACAGTAAAATGTGTACTTGGATGAAAAAACGATTCTTCGCGGCAGGGGATCGTATTCCAGGGACCTGCCCGAAACGCTATGCGTACTAGTGGCTGTACAAGAATGTAACAACTCTTGTATATATCTCAAAAAAAAAAAAAAAAAAAAAAAAAAAAAAAAATGAAAATGCTATTCCCATCCACCATGTCTATTCCCTAGTATTTTATGCTCATGTCTCTACTGGTCCTTCTCTCTAAGGTTATTAGGCAAAGCTCCTTTGATGTGCCTTCATAATTTATAACCTCATAAATAAGAAATAATTTTCTTATTTCAAGAACCAGTCTTGTTGCAAACATATGGATGTTCTCAATCTTTTGTCTATAATGCCCTAAAGGAGTCCTTGTTTACATTTTTAAAAAAGCCATGTGTATGTTTGCACTACGTGTTTACCCAACTGTGCCAATGTAGAGCGTGATCTACCTCTGGAGCCCTATCTATTGTTGCTTTGTGAATTTTCCTCTCCCAACATTATAGTACAATATAGTTCATTACAACTCTGCTTGAGCAAATCGGTTTTTGTTAAACAAAAATGTGGTCTAATACAAGCTCTGTTTGTATTAGACTAATTCTAATGTGGTCCAAGACCACATTAGGTTTGGACCACATAAAGGTCTATTGTAAAGGAAGATCAGCCATAATTATACAAAATTTTGCATTTTGTATACAATAATTATTATGCTTTTGTTAAAATAAAGTATATATTTCATTCTGGTCCTGAGTTCCAGTAGGAAAGGGAGGGTCGCAGAGGTGGGGTGAGAGGGAGAGAGAGGGGGGCGGGAGGGAGATAGGTGTAGAGGTGTGAGGAGGAGGAATGTTGGGGGAGAAAGGTGGAAAAAGGAAGAGAGGGAGAGTCAAAGTCAGAAACTAAGGTGAATACAGTGAAACAAGAATATACATATATTGCAAAAGAAAAATATAACTCATCCATCCGTTATATTCACACCATGTGGCATCACAGATCAACAGTCCACCAGTCATCCACAGCAGCATCCCAATTAATGATTTACATTACATTAAATTATTAAATATCAACACTTGGTAGATCCTTTCAATATAAAAGACATTTAATAATATAGTACAGTATATACATTTAATATTTACTTTGCAGTAAAACAAGATTTGTATTAAACTTGCCATAAATCTTAAGATATTTTAAAGTTCATATTATTAAATCTTGAAAAAAAGGGATCTGGCATAGATCATTTATTGAGAGTTAAACAGAGGATTATTGTAATGGCAGGAATCATTGTTTAAACTTAATGAAACAACTGGCTTTGTTAGTTAATTCTCGGTTGATCAATATCTCCGATAACCAAAAGTTTAATGAACATATATTCATGAAAGAAATCACAGGTGTATGCATGTCCATACTTACCCACTTCAATGTATTTTTGGTCCGGCTTAATTGCTGTAGTGAGTGCCCTGGACCTTGCCTCTTCTATCGATATTAACTTTGTGGGGGTAGATATAGCAAGAGACTTTGGACGCGATTTCTTTGGTGTTCCATCCACTCCGTTAGTGGAATGCGAGAAGGTGGGGATTTTGTCGTTGAAAATGAGGTCCACATACCGCACCAGATACTCCGTCACTACTGCTTGGGTGCCCACATCCTACACCACCACCAGAACACAGGTCATTTATTTTGTAAGTAATTATTATTCATCAAGCCAAAACAATATTAAATTCATTGACACAACATTTAATTCTATGCAAGACTATATAAAACTGTATAAAAAAAATAATGTATAGACAAAACACATGCCTTAAAGAAAAGATAAAAACCTTATGCAGTAATGTACTACATAATAATGACACTGTATATCAACATGCAAAGCAAGAAACTGTAAAAGCATGATCATATTGCCTATTGTAAAAATTCCATACATTTCTATTGTTCACATATGTAGGTGCTTAAAAAAAAAAAAAGACCATGTGCGTCATCAGTGAAAGGTAGCCTTGGAATTATATGGGCTATGAAAACAATAAAAAGACAAGCTATCTTCTATCAAGGAAACACCAAATACCCAACTGACCTTTTTGGCTGCCTATACAATGATTTGCATGTCAATTCAATCAAAGATTTATGTCAGTATTAAACAACTGTAAGACCATAAAATATGTTAACAACTTCCAAGTTTAAATATAAGCAAATATTTTAAATTATTTTTATTTCTTTTAAAGTAATGAATTTTAGATATGAATTGTTTTCAATTTAATTTTCGTTTTTAATGTAAAAACGAACAAATTCCATTTATTATAAAAAACTAATTGGAAAAATGACACCATCATAAGAACCCCCAAAGGAAATTTTGATGGGCAAGCAAGACAGAGCAATTGCTGTAAGATTTTCTAATCAATGATAAGAAAGATGCAGATTTATTCCAGAGATAATGGAACGACTAATGTAATTTTCCTAGTACAGTAATACATTCCTTTCTCACACACAATTTATCATTCCTACATTACTTTTGACTTAGTTATTATTTAATTTTTCTAATAAGGTGAACATGTAAAGACCTTGGCCATTTACACTTAATCTGTGCCGATTTATACACACAAACACTTTCACAGAGTACTGTACTGGAACCAAGTGTACAAAAGAGCACAAAAGAACATCAGTGAAAGGTGGAAACACACAAGTCAGAGAGAAATACAGAAACACTTGTACTGTACTTATGGAAAGTGGTAAATACAAAAAGAGGATTTCACTAAAAAGTGATAGTGGAAGCCATTTAAATTTAAATCTACAGCGTCAGGAACAAACAGCGAACTATAACACCAATGAGCATTCCCTGTCAGTTACAGAGAGTGATCCAAAGCAGGCTAGTAGAATATTTAGAACAATTAAATTTCCCTTTCAAGCACCAGCACAGATTTAAGAAGGAAAAATCGTGATTGTCAAGCTTATCAGAGTTTTATAACAGCAATTAAACATGAAAGAGAGAGATGGGAAAACTACATATTCCTTGACCGTCAGAAAGCATCTGATTCAGTCTCACATAATAGACTCCTATTCAAACTAGAGAAGCAGGCTAGTGCATCAGTTGAAGTCCTCAAGAGTGTGAGGGGATCTGAGGAAAGAAGAACAAGGTTACAGTGAGAGCAGAAATATCAGAGGAAAGAGGTTACACATGGAGTACAAGAGTTTTTGATAGGGCCCATCCTGATATTAATGCAGTATTGCATATATCAATGACCTATCAGAGGAAACTACTGGGAAACCAGGAATCTGCAAACACTGGGTATCAGTGTTTGTAGATGATGCAAAACTAGTGAGAAATGTCAGCATAGAGGGTGACTACAATATCCTGCAAAGGGATCTGGACACTCCAAAAGTGACCTCAAATATGGCTGCTAGAGTTTAACCAAACAAAATGTAAATTAAGTGGATAGGAACAGGAGTGAGACCTGTACTGCAGTGCAGAATGAAGAGGGTGACAGATTCTCATCAGAACACCACAAGCAGAATAACTACAGCAGCACATGCTAAACTGCCTAATGTCTGTGTAGCCTCCTGGGCCCTATACACAACTATGCAAGACAATCTTTAATACAGCTGTGGCATAGAACTCTCACCTGAAAATGGACAAATCAAAACTAGAAAAGCTCTCAAGATATGTAGCAACTCTCATTCCTAAGTTGAAGAGCTTAAATTATGAGAAAAACTGAAGGGAACTGGATTGTGCTACACCAAAAGTGACGTAGAATAGTTAGGATATAATAACAGCATGTAAGATTCAGAGAATTGATAGCTCAGACAAGGACCTACTGTTCAAAGCTGAGAATAGCAGAATGACTGCATAGATGGAAACTAGATATACAAATAAATCGCAGAGAGTTCAGAACAGACTGCAGTGTTAACGCCACCAATAAATAGAATAGATTACATAAAGACGTCATTGAAGCTAACGTAATATATAATTTTAAATTTAAATATGAAAACAAAAATGTGGTGAACCAAGTCATTGCATTAAAATAAGAACATTGGGAAGGTGGGGCCAGGAGCCGAGCTTGTGCCTGCAAGCACACCTAGTGCAGCACACACTGACAGGACACCACGAGCATAGCTCTCATCCTGTAACTAAACTTAGGTAATTATACACTCACAAAAACATTCACAGTATGATAGAGCACAATGCACAAGAGTTATAGTACCATGTTGCACAATCAATAGCTCAAAGGCAGGGGCCAAAAGCAAGCTTATTCCCAGCAAACTCACACAGGTAAGAATAAAGGTAAGAGCAGATATATATAAAATTCAATACCTTCACCCACTCTTGAAGCTTTGATCAATTTTGTATTTCCAGCTTTCACAAACGACCTTTATTCACAACACCATGTCTTGCAGCAATGTGTTAATGTGCTACTTTACTCATTCTTTAAACTATAAATAATTTTGCTCTGTATAGCCATGAGTTACAGATATTAATCTCGGTACACTGATAAAAGGAGCTGCCAAACCGGCAATCAAGGGCACTACTAGGATGCCCCCTTGGTTGCCGGTGTACTAGGCCTCAAAACACAACACATCATATGATCCCAAGGCATACAGTACATGTACCAGTGCTGAAGCAACCAATGGAAGGCATTTGAAATTTACTAATCACAGGCAATACATACTTCCACATTAATATTGTAAAATGTAACATGTTTTATGATACTGCCACCATGGCTCTGTATAACCCTAAATAGTTTATTGTATATAATCCTAGGGCATGTACATTGAATGTGTGTCAGCTTTAGTGTTCAAGTACAGTATTGTTGATATGCAAAGCTCAAGAGCCTCTCTAAACAAATTACACATTTATTGATTTAAATTGACATAAAGAAGTTTATTATTATATTATATTATACTGTATATATATATATTATATATTATATGAAGCAAAATGTGCTTCCTCCAAAGCTGTTCAGAACCTACAAATTTAACTTCCAGGTATCTGGGAGTTAAATGAATCTTAACTCCCGTTCGTTAAATGAATCATGCTTCATCATGAGGGATGAAGCAATATGTGCTTTCTCCAAAGCTGTTCAGAACCTACAAATTTAACTCTCAGGTATCTGGTCCTCGACCAGGAGGCCTGGTCGAGGACCAGATACCAGATAGGTCAACAATTATACTTTGAGTTGACTATCATCATTTATGAATACCTATCTAACAATTATTTTTAGTGATACCAAGTATTAGTATTACTACTACCCAGGTACTACTGTATTGCTACTGTATGAACATACACAACACATTACGAGTTCACTAAATGTCTTACAATTTGTAAATACTTACTGCTACCTACATTATTATTACAGTACCAAATTAACTACCCAGTATTTATAATTTCTCATTAAAACAGTACACAATGTTCCTCGCCCCCTCGAGGAGTGTTCAAAAGAGAACTTGATAAACACCTCCAAAAGGATACCTGATCAACCAGGCTGTGATTCATACATCAGGCTGCGAGCAGCCACGTCCAACAGCCTGGTTGACCAGTCCAGCAACGAGGAGGCCTGGTCGAGGACCAGGCCACGGGGATGCTAAGCCCCGAAATCACTACAAGGTATCGTATCTAATATATCTGAATAATGCAGTGATCAACAAATAAAAAACAAAAGCTTAAACAAATGTGTAGTGAAAGGAATTTCAGTAGTCCAGTTTTCTACTGAAAACAACAGACACTAGAAATTATTGGATGAATGTAAACTGAAAAAATAATTTAGTACATACATGAACATAATCTAAAATTAGCTGTCAATTTAATGAGACACTCTGTACTCATTCTTGATATATAAATAGTAGCATAGAGTTATATAATTGCTGATCATTGATTCTACCAAAATATTTTCTTTAAGCATTATTTATGCAGTAAGTCTAGTGAAGATCTATTAATTCACTGTTGCAATCTGGTAGTGTTGCCACCACAGGACAACACTGTACAATCATAATAGGTTGTTCTCTATTGTGATTACACTGTTTGACATTTCATAATAGTCTAAAGAAGCACCTCAATATACAGTCTGGAAACAAAGCAGCAGAAAGGACTATCCCATAAATATACCCTTGCTGGTGACACTGAATAATATAAGAGCAAACCAAATCATTAGTACTAGTTGACCAAACCACACACCAGAAGACGAAGAAACGACGTTGTTTCGGTCCATCCTGGACAATTAACACGACAACTTCATAATGGTCCAAGACGGACCGAAACGTCATCGTTTCTTCATTTTCTGGTGTGTGGTTTGGTCATCATATCTTCAGCCATGTTATTGTGACTCACTGACTGCATTAGTACCAGTTACCATATCAATGACATACTTCTCCACTGAGAACACTACCAGGTTCAGCTATTAAACATCAAACAGCTGCCAGACAAAAAAAAGGTGTGACATGCTTGCCTGGACAAAGCCTAGACAATTTAATTATTAATGAATCCTAGAAGAATACAGTATATGGGAAATGTAAGGGGGGTACCACACATTGACTTCTAAAAGAAAGGAATGGATGGAGCTTAGGCAACATAACTGACACTTGAAAATAAGAGAAAATCTTTGTATTATCTTAAGGATATTATAAGCCAGGGGAAAATTTCTTAAGAGTTGAATGCTTCAAATACTGTACATCAAATGACATTTATAGACACACAGGAACATTAAAATGACAAAGGGTTATAATGCTATCCATAGCATGTCACAATACAAATTTTTAACCAACACAAAAAGAACAAAAAATTCCATTACCTTCTGTAATGGTTTATACATTGCTTGTAACAAACTTCGTCTCATGGAAGGATAATACAGTGCGTCTGAGGAAAGTTAACATTTAAGGCACATGTTACCCTTACAAATAACCAAATAATTTACAAAGCACAGCTAAATAGTTTAAAGTAATATGACAAATACTTAATACACAACCACCATCCTGCATTAGTCAGCATGACTGCAAATCTGTCATGCTGACTTGATACCATCCTGCACTAATATCAAGATTTGATACCATCCTGCACTAATCAACACGGATATTGATTCCATCCTACACTTTTCAACAGTTTTCAATCCCAAGCTCTAAATTTTTAAACACCTCACCATTTTGCATGTTTTCAAAACAGCTGAAAATGTAAATTCTAAAAATTTCCATACTATCCTACACTACAGTATTCAAGTTGTCAATTCTTATTCTGAAGTGTCAAAACTTCCCGGCACTATTCAACAGGGCTGCAAACTCCAATTCTAAAGTTTTACTACCTCCATGCACTATTCAACAAGGCCGCAATTCTAATTCCAAGATTTAAATATGATGCTAAATCTTTATTAAAAACAATCATCAAAAGTACCCACCTGAAGTGCTGCCACACCGCCCATATCCAAGTCTTTGGATCGCAAAAGGTTGGGTGCCCACACAATGGCAATATTTTTGGCTGTCATACCCGTTTCTGCACTATGTGAAGCAACTCTTGCTAGGTGCTGCACAAGATATTCAAGCGTTCTGAAAAAAATATGTGCATTGAATAATTGAACCGTTTTCCAATTACTAGATACAGTATCTCTAATTTGTCAAGACATATTCAGGTATAACTAATCTATTATCTATATACATCATGATTAGAACTTTGAATTTAAATTTGCATTGCTAAACAGTGTGAAATCGTTGTGATTTTTAATAATAAACTACAGTATAATGTACAGTAATATAATTTGTGTGTGTGTGTGTGTGTGTCATCATATATTATATATATATATATATATATATATATATATATATATATATATATATATATATATATATATTTATATATTTATATATATATATACATGCATACATATACACACACACATTATAAATAAAAGGCCTCTTTGCAAGTGTTGGATATATAGTATGATCTGCAAAATACTACAGCTCCAAGGAAAACTAGAGTTAGATGAAACACAGTAGAGAAACTATCATAATTCCATATTTTCTTGCTTTTTTCCTATTTTCCTACTGAATAGTCTAGCCAAGGTGATCTGTACAACTACTAGTACTGTGCTGCTACAGTGATAGCCAAACCATTATGTGCAATTCTTCAGTAACGTTCCTTTAAAGAATTTGATATTAGAAGATGTTTCAAATAAGGCAACCCTTATGTTTACTTTGTTAGTAAAAAAAAGAAAAAAAAAAGTCATATGTTAGGCTATAAAATACAATTACCAACCTATAGTGTGGGGGAGGCAATTGCTGAACAACGTCTCTTAAGTACAAGAGGCGAATATCCTCATCCTGCATCACAGCTGCCACAAACTTTTCGTACAGCTGATATGTTAAGAGAGGATTAGGCAACTCTCGGAAATACATTTTTAGTACTGATGAAACGCAATGAATATCTTGCACGATGCTGTCGTCCCCATATAAGTCAGGTATTCTGTCTTCATCAAAAGCATTTCTGAAAAATACAGAATTAATGATTAATCACAGTGGAAGTTTTATTAGTTTGTTTAAAATCCAGTAAAATGCCATACAGTATTTTACTGGATTTACTGGATACAGTGTGCATGAGACCCTCTTATGCACACCCAACCTGCTCATGTACCCTAAGGGGTTCATAGTTTACCTCATTTATTATGCACCCCATACTCATCTTGTAGGTTGAAGCAGAAAAGTTTACATTGGATACAGTTAATAAAATGCAATATAGTAACAAAGTATTAACTCAAACCATTAATAGCAAACTAAAGGTCACCTTAATTTCTGGATATTAGAAGTGATACCGGAGAGACGGTAAATACCATCGACAACACCATGGCTCTCCAGAAACTCAGAACAGCAGCGTAATACCATCGGAATTTCATGGCCAGAATTTAAAAGATGCTCTCCCAAGTCACAGCCGAACACCCTCTCACGCAATATACCAGATTGCTTCAATTTCCGCCGTGAAGGTCGAGAAAGAATGAAGCTCCTGAAAGGTTGGTGAAAATTTAATATACAGTATTTCATTAAAGTACATTATATAAATAAACTACCTGCATTAATACTGTACTGTACAATAAACATCTAAAAATCAAGATGAGTATACAAAATTAAATTAGCTATTGAATAAAACCAAAGCAAGTCTTATTTTATCTAGCTGTAGAAAGTCATTTTGCATCATTATTGCCCAATTTCTCTATTTCATAAGATGAAGATGAATCAGCCCAGTGTTTATATGAGAGCAGTGTAGGAAAAGGTAAAAGATATTCAAAATGCCAGCATTATTAAAACCTTTTTTCCTTTCACAGAATACAGGGAACATTATATTCACACATTACTTATTTTGTTCACATGTTTTTCAGCAAAAGGGACACACTCAGTGTTATCACAGGAAGCCAATTATGATGGATTTCTGCCACAATATTAATGCGAATTATGAATGTCAGTGGTTCTCTCCATGTTGGGAGGCCTAGCAGAATGAGTATGCATGAGAGACCCTCTCATGCACACCCAACCTGCTCATGTACCCTAAGGGGTTCATAATTTACCTCATTTATTATGCACCCCATACTCATCTCGCAGGTTGTAGCAGAAAAATTTATAAAGACACATACTGGGCTCAGGAACTGAACAGCAATACTGTATTAATTTAGTTCAGCAAGTTACAGAAGTGATGAGCTAATTACAGAGTTTAACATACTCATCAACAGTATAGTTTTCACAGTTTGACTACGGTAATTTAGTATAGTTTACATAAAGTTTAGTCACGTAATGGGCTTAGGAACTGAAACAGTGTTTTATAAGGTAACCAGCTTATATTTGTAGGGTGCTAGCTACATAATTAATTGCCTCAAATTTGTGATAAAGTTACAAGAACACTGATCTCTAGAACATTGCTCTAGCTAACATTACAGTACATGGTCATGTGATAAGCATTCAAGAGATGTGAAGGCAGTGCAAGCTTACAGTGTGTGTGTGTGTACCAGTACTACCCACAATAGGCAAACTTGGAGTAAATGCATCTTTGCATTTGTCACTAAAATAACACATTCTTTCAAACTTTCAAATATATTGTAAATATTAAACCCAATAGAAATTATGCATGTTATGGTAATAATTGAGGAAGGAGAGTGTTGGTGTGGTGCCCAGCCTAAGTTTCCTCACTGCTAATAAGCTGGTCTTTATGCCACAGAACAACCACAAGATTGAGGCAGAAGTGGTAGTAGCGGTGTGGGGCTTGGCCACTCACAACCGAGCCAACAGTGTTGGTGGTGGTCAAGCTGACAACCAATGAATGAGGAAGGAATGTTTTAAATAAATAAATAACATTATGAAGGTTTAACAAAAATACATGTTATGGCACTACTGTATTACAACAGATTTTACTTGCACTATCGCACAGAAGTCTTGAAAGTTTTAAGCTGATAAATGAAAACATTCCAGATTTTGCATGCCTATTTCAACTTTGAGAAAAATAAGACAAAAGTTCTTTTAAATAAAGAAACAAAAGTAATTTAATGGAAACTATAAAGCACCAATTCATAAGATACTCAATATATTATGTTGCATTTGCATTGCAGTGTTTGAGAGATAGCAGTCGATACCAACGGCTCTAGAAATCTATTCCACGTCAATTCTTTTTGTAGGCAAAATACCACCTATGATTTTAGTTTCTTCCCTGGTCTTAATTCTAGCCATTGTTATACTAAAATTGGCAAGCAATGCCTCAGTTGTATGTTTTCAAATATCAATGCCCCTATATTTAAGCAAATAACAGGTTGGTTCCTATTACCACTCGGGTTTATATGTATCCAATTGACTATATTTCCCCAGCCCAGTCTCGGATAAGCACACCAACAACCACATTGTTATCTTTGTTACAGAATATCTGGTCCACATCCATCACCTGAGTGAGTGAGTGAGTGAGTGTCACTAAGTTACTTTTTTTTTTACCTGTACTGGCAGTTTTTCATCCTGCCATGGTCCTCCTTCATCCTACTTTAATCTTGACAATTTCATCCTGTACTGCGCTAAATAGGTTTCATTCAACTCCTGCACCTATCCCATGGTTTTTTTCTTGTTTATAAGCCTTTCATGCTGGTGGCAGTCTAATTCCTACTCGCTTTCTCCTTTTCATTTTAACAAATTCTGCCTTTAACTCAAAATACAGTTTCTCATGTTCACAAAGCAACAAACAATGTAATCAAAATTAATACCAGGTAACTCATAGCACTGACTAGGGGACATTTGCTCATGATAATGTAAAATACTGTCATGTTGAATAACAGTACTGTACACACATTGGTATAATTAAATTGTAAGGTGGTGATATTTGATATTTGATAACCAATGATATCTGGTTATTTGACATATACCATATATGATTATATGGTATATTGTTATGTATACAACTCAAATTAGGTAAAAATGAGCCACAAACTCCCAAATTTCCTACTTGGTAAACTAAGCAAGGAACTTTAGCAATGTAAATTGGGTATAAAAATTAACTAATTGTATTCCTTACCTGAAGAAGGCTATAAGTTTGCCATGCTTCCTTAAGACTGGCTTGGTGGGAGCTTGTGTGCCTGCATGTATTGTGTGGTGCTGGTGTGAAGCAGCAATGGGGGGTTGGGTCCGGGCAGGTGGCAGTGTCAGAGTCTGAGGTTGGATTGTTTGTGGCACCTGACAAAGAAATAAACAAATACATACACAACCAAAAATGTAGTTAGAATATTCCTAAATATGTTGTTTTAAGCAAAGCACATAAATTCATACTTTTACTATAGTGAGTATGCAGCTTTCACAGAAAATAGTGGAATAGTATTTAGTGTACTACACAACACATGCAGTATGATTAAATAACTGTAAATTCCAGATAAATGGGAATTCAATAATGCCATAACTTTTTTTTATACAAGTCCATAATGCAGACAAAGCCATTACTGCACCATTATAAGCAAGACTTTATCAACATTTTGAGAAATATCTCTGAGGAGGAGGAGGTCAATTAAGAAAAGCATAGTAGGTCATAAAGCTATTAAAACTGCAGGGGATGGGTGGAACTGAGAAGCAGACAACTGAAGTGAGGGAAGTAGCAGCTGACCTTATCGCCGATGACCTGGACACACTCGCAGGGGAAGAAGCCCACCTGGAAGCCTCTCTTGCCCCGCCACCATATGGACTCCTCGGGGGGAGGCATGTCGATTACACTGATCATGTCGCCAACCTAAAAAAAAAAAAAGAAAAAAAAATTAATACTCTTCATTGTTAAATGTTTTTGCTATTAATTAATCTATACTAATGTTCAGTATTACTACTGCTGCTTTATGTAGTACAATTAAGAACTTGTACTACTGTATAATAGTAATTAAGAGACTACTGCTACCATTATACAGTACACTGTGCGCAAAATGTGCCTGTTTCCCCCCTCACCAATATCCAAATATGAAGCCCTTAAGATGGATGGCCATAAACAACACCAAAGGAAAGCTACTACCGAACTAAGCCAGTATGGCTGAACAGTATAGTACAGTACTATTCAATTCACAAATTAATTATATAATTTCTGACCCTCCTCACAGGCACATGCTTCAATCAGATCTTGTATGCTTCAGCTGTCAGTTGAGCTATTCCCTGTATGGGAGTTTTGTCGCACAAGACTTTCCCATTGAACGTTTGCAAGATCCATATATATTTTTTCCTAGTCGATCCTCTTATTGTTGAAACTGAATTGATTAAGTAACCCTTCTCGCTTGTTGTCTCTCTTGGAACTACTACCGTTATTAATGTTAAGTTTGCACTTCAATGAACACCTGACTTGACATGTTGACCACCCTCTTGCTGGTTATTTGACTGTCCTGACTAATTCATGGAAATCTTTGGAAAAAGTATTAATTGTAATTAGTGCACATAAGCTTATTGGAGGCTCTCTTGGAATGTGGCATTCTTAGGGATATGTTATGTGGAATTAACAGGAACTTTTAATTGTCTGGAAAAAAACTACTGAGAATTTGGAGCACCTATATTACTCTTAATACTGTATAGTTAGTTCACAGTTGCTCGGCTCACCACCGCCAACAGCAGCAGCACCACCTACAGCGTTATATTCTGCTGTGCTTTTGAATACGGAATAATTGTAAAAATAAAAAATAAACTGCATTATCACAGCCAGCACCAGTCGCACCATCATCAGCACGACCATCAGCATTATCACCACTGCCACCAGCAGAACCATTGCCACCAGCAGAACCATTGCCACCAGCAGAACCATTGCCACCAGCAGACCATTGCCACCAGCAGCAGAACCATTGCCACCAGTACCTCGTAGTGTGAGTGTGGGAGTAAACTATCTTGACGACGCCCAAAATGCCCACCTGTCCTGGGCTCCTCCCACTCCTACGATCCACCTGTACGCATAATTCAACTACCTTGCCCTCTTATCTTGCCCACCTGTCCGATCATTTCAATTTGTTCTGCCCCGTTTACTTTCTAAGAGACTTGCGTTTTAATCAGTACTACTCGCGCGCGCGCGTGCGTGTGCGTGTGTGTGTGTGTGTGTGTGTGTGTGTGTGTGTGTGTGTGTGTGTGTGTGTGTGTGTGTGTGTGTGTGTGTGTGTGTGTGTGTGTGTGTGTGTGTGTACTCACCTATATGTACTCACCTATATGTGCTTGCAGGATCGAGCATTGACTCTTGGATCCCGCCTTTCTAGCTATCGGTTGTTTACAGCAATGACTCCTGTCCCATTTCCCTATCATACCTAGTTTTAAAAGTATGAATAGTATTTGCTTCCACAACCTGTTCCCCAAGTGCATTCCATTTTTCTACTACTCTCACGCTAAAAGAAAACTTCCTAACATCTCTGTGACTCATCTGAGTTTCCAGTTTCCACCCATGTCCCCTCGTTCTGTTATTATTACGTGTGAACATTTCATCTATTTCCACTTTGTCAATTCCCCTGAGTATTTTATATGTCCCTATCATATCTCCTCTCTCCCTTCTTTTCTCTAGTGTCGTAAGGTTCAGTTCCTTCAGCCGCTCTTCATATCCCATCCCTCGTAGCTCTGGGACAAGCCTCGTCGCAAACCTCTGAACCTTCTCCAGTTTCTTTATGTGTTTCTTCAGGTGGGGGCTCCATGATGGCGCGGCATACTCTAAGACAGGTCTCACGTAGGCAGTGTAAAGCGCCCTAAAAGCTTCCTCATTTAGGTTTCTGAATGAAGTTCTAATTTTCGCCAGTGTAGAGTACGCTGCTGTCGTTATCCTATTTATATGTGCCTCAGGAGTTAGATTAGGTGTCACATCCACTCCCAGGTCTCTTTCTCGAATCGTTACAGGTAGGCTGTTCCCCTTCATTGTGTACTGTCCCTTTGGTCTCCTGTCACCTGATCCCATTTCCATAACTTTACATTTACTGGTGTTAAACTCCAGTAGCCATTTCCCTGACCATCTCTGCAGCCTGTTTAAGTCCTCTTGGAGGATCCTACAATCCTCGTCTGTCACAACTCTTCTCATTAATTTTGCGTCATCTGCAAACATTGACATGTATGATTCCACTCCTGTAAACATATCATTTACGTAAATTAGAAAGAGGATTGGTCCCAGCACCGATCCTTGAGGTACTCCACTTGTTACTGTTCGCCAGTCCGACTTTTCGCCCCTTACCATTACCCTCTGGCTCCTTCCTGTTAGGTAGTTCTTCACCCATACTAGGGCCTTTCCGCTTACTCCTGCCTGCCTCTCAAGTTTGTATAGCAGTCTCATGTGCGGTACCGTATCAAAGGCCTTTTGGCAGTCAAGAAATATGCAGTCTGCCCAGCCTTCTCTGTCCTGCCTTATCCTTGTTACTTTATCATAGAATTCTAAAAGGTTTGTTAGGCATGATTTCCCTGTCCAGAACCCATGTTGGTGCTTGTTTACAAACCCAATGCTCTCCAGGTGCTCAACAAGTCTTAGCCTAATTATTCTTTCAAGTATTTTGCAGGGGATGCTTGTCAGTGATACGGGTCTGTAGTTAAGTGCCTCCTCCCTATCACCCTTTTTGAAAATCGGTACGACATTTGCCTCCTTCCAGCAACTGGGCAATTCTCCCGACATAAGTGACTCATTAAAGATCATTGCCAGAGGCACGCTGAGAGCCTGCGCTGCCTCTTTGAGTATCCACGGTGATACTTTGTCTGGTCCAACAGCTTTATTTGCATCCAGTGTTGTCAACTGTTTCATTACATCCTCTGCTGTCACCTCTATATCCGATAGTCTTTCATCTTGGGTAATCTCTTCTAACAATGGGAGCTGCTCAGGCTCGGTTGTGAACACTCCATGGAATTTTGCATTCAGTACCTCGCAGATTTCCTTGTCGCTTTCTGTATATGCCCCTTCTGTTTTCCTCAGTCTTGTCACTTGGTCATTTACCGACATCTTCCTTCTTATATGGCTATGTAGTAATTTTGGTTGCTTTTTCGCTTTGACTGCAATATCGTTCTCATAATTTCTTTCCGACACTCGTCTTATGTTAATGTAATCATTCCTAGCTCTGTTACATCTAATCCTGTTGTCCTCTGTCCTTTGTCTTCTGTACTTCCTCCACTCCCTCCTGCTTCTCACCTTTGCTTCCTGACACTGTCTATTAAACCATGGGTTATTATATTCCCTCCTGCTTTTTTCCTTTATTGTTGGAATAAATCTATCTTCAGCCTCCTTGCAGAGTGAGTGAGTGAGTGAGTGAGTGAGTGAGTGAGTGAGTGAGAGAGAGAGAGTGTGTGTGTGTGTGTGTGTGTGTGTGTGTGTGTGTGTGTGTGTGTGTGTGTGTGTGTGTGTGTGTGTGTGTGTGTGTGTGTGTGTGTGTGTGTGTGTGTGTGTGTGTGTGTGTGTGTGTGTGTGTGTGTGTGTGTGTGTGTGTGTGTGTGGTGTGTGTGTGTTATTAATCTAGCTAACGCTTAACATGGCCACCTGTCTTGCCCTCTTCCCAACTCATCTTCAGGAATGGTCGGAGAAGTGACCCGAATTTTAAGTGCCAAATGCAACGTAATGCAAACTAGGGGGAAAGCAAGATGACTTACTGGCAAAGTTGTTATTAGGAATCTAGGGGGGGGAGGCGTTTAGAACACTAGATACGTCATAGGCCTATAGACCTACAGCGTGGAGCTGTAGCTAAAGAAGTATGCAGTCAGACTAGAAAAGTACAGAGGTGTGGAAAGAGGCTCGTACCCGAACGAAGAGGACTAGCCTATGACGAGAAACTGAAGGAGCTGGACATTACCACACCTGAGGATACGTACAATACAGCTAACGCAAACAAGACGTTATGATTTATCAGAGGAAGAGGTACGGTTAATAAACAATTGATTAATAAAGAATCGTGGCAGAACAAGGGGACATGAATGGAAACACGCGGTACAGATGAATCACAGGGATGGAAGCAAGAAGTTTATTAGCGTTAAGGTTATCGAGGAAATGGAATAGACTCTAAAGAGATGGCAGACGATAATGCAATCATTAATTTCAAAAGTAGAAAAAGATACCAAAGAGGAGGGGCCTGAATCTGGCCCCAGGAACTATAGCTCGGCGTAAGGCACATTCAGGTTGGACACGCGTACAGTCACTCTCCTGCTGGTAATGACAGTTGTGTTATAGAATAAAACTCAATTCCCGCAAGTACAGGCGAGTGCAGTCAGGTGAGTACACTTGGGTATATCTACACCTGGTCTTCTCACTGCCCCTGACACTTTCACCAGCCTTGGCATTAGAATGGGTAGGAGACAACACGCCCTGGAAATATCCTAGTTAAGAAAAGTCATCCTCCTCACCCTTAGATGAGACAAGAAAACAGGAGACGGAACTAATGCGTAATTACCCGCCTTATTATAGCTATTCTGAGATATAAAGTGACATGGATAAGAAAATGGCGAGTGTTCTGTCATTCTTGGAATCTGTCCTCTTATAAACATGGGGTCATAAGAAAGAGCTGTGCTTAGCCCTTTATCATTATTTGTCTATGTTGGTCCACTGTTGGAAGAGTTCAGGCATTATAGCCGACTGTCGCAGATCTTTAACTACATCTACTAGGCCCAGACTCCACTAAACTGTTTCACAAAGTATCTGTGCCACTTATGTCCCCACAGAGCCCACCGCTTAATTTTTCTGATACTATCAGAGACCTGAGAAGCAGAATAAAGGTCATCTGGAGTGGATTTGGACGTCTTGAAACCTGATCGAAAGAAAGTTACTTA